GAAATTTCGTTTGAAATCGTGTGTATATGCTGCGATTGAACAAAGTTACTCCGCCAGTATAATTGTCAAAATGTATTTCTTACATTAGATGGACATTCTATACTTATATATGATTTGATATACAGCGTGCCGTTACCACCGCGACAATAAATGAATACACGTGTAACGCTACTTGCCAATAATCAGAAAAAAATATTAACGTTAAAAATAAATCAATAATTAAGAAAAATATTTTTCAAACAAACTAAGTAAAAATGAAACGAAATTTGTAACATCCTATACAACTACAACTGACTGATTCATACATTCAGAGACTTTTTCATTCGTTGCCACAGCGTCGCATTACAAGCCTCTCCTTCTAGCAGTATGTTATGCCTCTTTTAAATTCATGCAACCCATTCATATGCTTTGTGACCTTTACAAATGAAATTTACGTTAGTTTTTTTTTATGCGAAAAGTTGTCAAACGAGCAGACGGTTCACCTGATGTTAAGTGAATACCGCCGCCCATGGACATCTGCCACACCCGAGGGTTACAGATGCGTTGACAACCTTTTGAAAATTGGGCTCCGGCTACCTCACTCACCAGACGAAACGCGAAAGTATTTGTCATACTTCCACTTTACGATGGTCTTCTGTGAGGTCGTGGTACTTACCCGGACGGGGATGGCTATACGTGCAACAGCCAAGGCTGCTGCGTGGCCCTACCACAGTAAAATAATACGTAAGTTAAATAATATAAGTAAGTACGGCAGTTTTAAACTCGGTAAATATTGATGTTTAAAGAATGTAAATGTTTAATACAATTTTAAAAAGTTATCCTCTATATGTGTGTTCATTTATTGTCGCGATTGTAAAGACACGCTGTATAGAGTATTGTGATTTAAGTATTTAAAAATCTTCAAAATACATTTATGATTTTTCCGTCAACGTTGAACACATCATACAGTAAGTACTTAAAATTACAATGAAGAATATTTTTGGTACAGGCATCGTGGTTTGACCTCAGGAGGCCCGAGAGATTTCTTAATATTAAAAATGTTTACCCAAAAATATTACTTTAAGCTACATTGACATGAGACCTGATCTTTGACATTCAATACAGTGCAGTTGAAGTGTTCAAGTTCACTTCAAGTGCAGTCGGATCGACGGATGAATTTCAATCAATCGGACGTCTGTGTTCCGCACGCTTTCGCGTGTTTTATGCAGTAGCTACAAAGATAATAACAACAATGAGATGCACTAGCACGTGTGACTGCCGTCTTGTTCGTAAATCAGGCGCCTTTGCTACGTTCACTGCATTATAAGTACTTGTAGTAAATATTTTATGTCACCAAAGGTAAACTGGAAGAAAATGCTATTTAAGCATTAAGTTCGCCTTCATACAAACTTTTACTACAATAAAGAATATACAAACAAACAAACATAAGTACGACGCGTATAACTTTTAGTGAAGGTGGCAGTTGAGTAAACGAATATGTTTTACAGAAGATAAGTGAAATGAACAAACAACCAACAGTTTCACCTGATGTAAGGTCGTGACACCCATCAACATCCGGCCACACTAGAGGATTAAGATGTGCTTTGCTGACCCTTCGAGGAGGGATACTTTTTATTACTAAGACTCCGCTGTCTGTCTGTCCGTCTAACACTAGGCTGTATCACATGAACAGTGATAGTTAGCCAGTTGAAATTTTCACAGACGAAACAAATATGAGGTTTTTACCCATTAAAACTCCCTTGACAACAAAAACAAAATTCCATAACACAATCGGAAACGGATATGACGCCTTTAGGCTCTACCAGTAAAACCTATGATGAGGTTTTTACGCAACAACTGCGTATAACACACATAACTAGATAAGCTAAAATTTATAAATAGTAACAAACATCCAAATGTGCATAAACGCCCTTATCCCATCTAGGTGGGGTCGGCACAACATGTGAATCATGTCGACTGACGGGCCGCTGCCCGACGTCAACACTCCTTGGGAATCATTACGGAACAATCATCTGTGTGTCACACAAATACTTGTCCCGTGCGGGAATCGAACCCACGACCCCCGACGCCGAAGCCAAAGCCAATAGTTAACGGCGGTTCCAAATCAGATATGAATCGTGCCGAGTCAAATATGAATACACTCGTAGATTGACTAAACCGCCTATTGTACTTCCTTTTACATTCATTTGTAATTTGCCTTTTATATATATATTTTGGTGTACAATAAAGTATAAATAAATAAATTGACCACGGCCCCACCTCAACCTCTTCACCTTCGATCACGTCTGACAGCCCAGTGCCTTCTTAAGTGCCTTTCGCCGCCCTAACCCCCCGTCACACCTCATGTAACTAACGAGCAATTTAACTGACGACTCGTGACTAGACCACCCTCACTTCGTGTCCTCCCTTACATCGCGTTCGCTTTTTAGCGTCTTCCCAATCCCAAATTGTTGTAGTTATTTTAGAGTACCAATTAAAATCGCATTGCCGAGTCAAGCGCTTACTGAGAAAGCTGATAGCCAACCCAAAATTAGATAAAATATAGGTAGGTATATGTAATGTTATAATAAAACATCTCTTTATTTCTTGTTTTTTGTTTATTTTCCTCGCATATATATCGATAGAGATGATGATTAATTATACCTATACTAGCGACCCGCGCCGGCTTCGCAAGGGTGCAATGTATTATACATAATTATAAACCTTCGTCTTGAATCACTATCTAGTAAATAAAAACCGCATCATGATCCGTTGCGTAGTTTTAAAGATCTTAGCATACATAGGGACAGACAGACAGCGGGGCGACTTTGTTTTCTACTATGTAGTGATAACCGATATTTTATACAAATAAGAGGTAGATACGGCAATAGCGCACCGAAACTGAGGCACCCAAATTTCTCCAATTGTATTATTCGTAATTATATTGCAATTCGATAGTGCTATTTTTTTCCGTATTCTACGTTCTATATCATGTCACATTCACTTGGACATGTCATATAATGAAAAGCGGAACAATTTTTAAACGCCACGCAATATGGACATGCATCAACTATTTTTCTATCAATTTTTCCATTTAACTTTTTTTGGCAAGTTTATGTTGTTTAGGAATATTGTAAACTTTAGAAATTATATTAATTAAATTTCATCGCTTTTTAAAAAGTGTAGAAGGAAATATTTTTACATGCTATAAAAACGTCAAAACATCAGCTAGAGAACAAAACTTGTCTTTAATGACTAATCATAGTTTAAGAAAGCTATATTTATTCCCAGAGATATAAAAAGCTTTTTAGTAAAAGTTGGTTTAGTTTGCATCCGTTAATGTATCAATTTAAGATATAATTCTTTTTTCCAAAAAATCAGTTACATGAACGTATATGCAAGTTGCTAATTTTAGCTCAACTGAATCAATTAAGTTTTTCATAGATTTACTTACGTACGAAATCACCACAGAACTCTTATTTGTGTTAATATTACCAGCTCGGAGATAGAGAAGTCTACCTTTTGACCAGAATCTTCATCTGATTTAGTCATCACCGTTTAAGATCAAGAACAAAGATCTTGAATCATGATTTGGCCATCAAAAACAATACAATATATGGTTTGTATTGTATTTTTTGATCATGCTGTACACATCGTTTCAGTGTGCAACAATTTTGCCGCATTATCTTCTTTTCAATAAACTTATCCATGTTAATATATTTGGCAATTTTCACAGCACCCTCGAAATCATTTGTCTAACCAAACTTTCCGTATTTTCTCTCCTAAGCAGTTTCTAACATCAATTAAAAACTCATATCTTTTAGGCAGATGTAATTTGTATGAAAATAACACTAGAGAAACAATGTTCCATTAAAAAATTCTCCATGTACATATATGCTGAGAAGAAAAAGATAAATAAAACAAAACAGTGTTACATATTAATTTAATATCAAATTTTGCCAAGCGCGAAATTTGTTAGCGCCCTCCTTAAAAGTAAGAAAAACGAGGCGTTCCATGTTAAATAATAGTTTCTCCTCTTATAGACAATGTAATTTTATTGTAAGGAATCGAATATGAAAAACGCTGTTTATTAGTGTTAGGTAATGAAAAGCATCTCCATAAAATATACAATTAAATAATAATTTAAAAAAAAATATTGTTATATTAATCTTGTGACTCTGATTAGCTAAACCGACAGAATAGAAATGACGATATAGAGGCGATAACTGAATTAGGCATTATTATTTATAACCACATGATTTATTGGTTATGCTTGGAAAGATTAAATCTCTCCTATTGTCAAATCTCTATTTCTGATAATTATAGAATAATAAAATTGAATAATTTTCGTGATAGCTATATTTAAATACAGCGGGTCGCAATGAGATCCTACTGCATCAAATATGATTCGATCGAAAATATCCGCCGCCTCGTTTTTCTTGGTGCCGGCCGGCACGGGGATTTGAACTGAGGCTGCTCGAGTATTACGAAACTGAGCTATTACGGCCATTTTACTTTGATATAAATACTCGTCTCGGATGGGAATCGGCCCACGGAGTATCCTGTGTATCATATTACTGTGTGCACAGAGTAGAAGACTAGCAGAGTCACTACGCACACACGCACACCGGGGTCGTCCACAAACCCGAAAGTCATACAGATGATGGTACGCACTTCGGGGAATCAAACCCCCATGGCCCCGAGCCCCTTCTGAGATAAGCCCCTTCTAAGATTGTCTCAGAAGGGGCGCACCTTCCGCTCGAGAAGTGTAGTCTGGGCTCGTCCCTTAGCGCGCGTGCGTACCACACACACTCATCCACATAAAGTCTTTCCATCCGATTACAACGTAGGCGTATTCAAGGCAAGGGTGAATAGGTTTTTACTGAGCTCACGCGCTCACCATCATCGGCTGCATCGCCACTAATCATCAGCCAAGTGCTGGCCAGTTTCGAATAAAAAAAACTACACACACGCGCACACGCACACGCACACACACGTCGCGTGCGTACCGGCTCCGGCTAGGGCGGGGGCGCGAGCGGCACCAGCAGAGGCTCGCGGGGGCGGCGCGGGCGGCGCGCGGGGGGCCGGGCGGAGGGGGTGCGCAGCCGCGGGCGGCCCGGGCCCCGCCGCCCGCGCCCCTCCGCCGCGCCCCGCGCCTCCAGCACCTCCAGCGGCGCGTCCGACTGCAGCAGCGCCGCGCCTGGCGGTTGACACAACGGGCGTGATAAATGGATGGAGACGGTTCAAATTTGCACATTAAAAATATTATATCCACGGCTAATTTAACAGTTACGCGAGGATGCGTCAAGTGAAAATTGGATAGTTTGATCTTGGCATGTTTATATACATCTTCGTCGAATCAAGCTTTCAACTTTTATTGTGTTTGTGATTGCGTTTATTTTTCAAATACAAAGGTAAAAACAATTTTCTAATACTATGCAGTACACAGAACAAAATAATTTTATTATTCCTTAGTGATTGTCACAATGAAATATACTTAAACCAATAACTGCGGATGATAAAACTGAACCCTCAATTATTTATTTATATTTAGTAGTTATGTATAGGGTTTAACTGTGGTAGGGTCACGCAACGCTCTTCGCCGTTGCACGATAGGGCAGATCCGCCCGGGGAAGTAACACAACCTCGCAAAAGACCGGCGTGAAGTGGAAGTGTCGCATTTATGCGTTACGTCTGGTGAGTGAGGTAACCGGTACCCGCTTTAAAATGTGGCAAAGCGCCTGCAACCCTTCGGGTGTTGTAAATGCTAATGGGCGAAGGTACTAAGGTAAAGGCATCACGCAGCAGCCTCGGCTGTGGTATGAATGGGCAGGCTCGTCCGGGCGAGTACCGACCTCGAGGACCGGCGTAAAGTAGAAGTGTAATACTTTCGCATTTGAGATGTCCATGGGGGACGGTATTCACTTAACATCGGGTGGACCGTCTGCTCGCTTGGCAACTTTTCACATAAATAAAAATATTATCAGGTGAACCACGCCCAACAGAGGCGGGTTGTGTAGGCGAGTGGAAACTTACCAACTTATTTTTGCGTAAAATTTTGAATATGGATTTGAATTTGACCTGCTGCGAGCGCGGAGGCGGTGTCCACTGGCGAGGGGGGGCGCGGGGGCGGGGGGGGGGGGGGCGGCGGGCGAGGGGGGCGCGGCGGCGGGCGAGCCGGGGCGGGGGGGCGGCGGGGGGGGGGGCGGGGGCGGGCGCGGGCCGGCGGCACAGCGAGTGGCGGGAGCCGCGCGGGCGGCCGCGGCGCGCGCTCCGGCCGCCGCGGGAGCCGCTCCAGCCGGAGCGCACGTTCGTGTAGGCTGCGGGTCGTTAATAAATACGATAATGGCCGGTGCCTATATTCAACGGACGGCCGTTGGTTACGTTGCTTCGTAACTGTCATAACGACTTGCGCCAAAGAGTGTAGTTTCGATTCCCACTAAAATAATGTGTGGTGTACATAGCGTTTTTCTATGATCATTCTATATATATATACAAAAGATATCTTTTTACAAAGAAACACTATATTTTAACATAAATTACAAAAGAAAATCATAAAATAATAAAGAAAACGAAAAATGCAACAGTTGTGGTTACATGTAACTCGTTGTGGACACGAAACAGACTATACTGTTGCAAGAATGGGCAGGCTCGTCCGGGGAAGTGCCACAATCTCACAGAAGACCGGCGTGAATTTAGTAAGTCCTTTAAAACCTTTCAAGCTTCAAGACGAAAGCATAATCTTTCCTGAAGGCCGGCAAAGCATGTGCAAACTACGGTGTTGCACAGATGTTCATGGGCTGCAGTGATCACTTACCATCGGGTGAGCCTGCTGCACGTTTGCCACTTTTCCATTAAAAAAAATTATAAAAGAAGGAAGCCGGGCTCACTTTTTTAATGTTGGCATCGCATCTCAAATCCTTCAGGTGTTTTAGACGTGCATGGACGGTAATCACACGTAATCAGGTGAGCAGATTGATGGTTGCCAACAAAAAAAAAAAACAAAAGAAAAAGGTGCACGTACGCAGAGGCGAGGGGTGCGAGTGCAGCTGGTGGGCGTTGAGGGGCGCGAGGGGCGGGAGGGGCGCGAGGGGCGCCGGGGGCGAGGGGGCGGGGGAGGGCTCGTCGTCGACGCGCAGCGGGCTGCCGGGCTCGGAGGGCTCGCGCGACCGCTTCGCCTCCGCCGAGGCGCCCTGTCACACAAACGGAACATTATTTATATATTTGCTCCTTTAGAATTGACACTTAACGGTGTTAAGTCCGCCGTTGCACGCTAATGTGCACAAAGTTTTTTAAATAAATTTATTGATTAAAGGGACCTAGGGGTTAAAAAATCATGATTTCGATTTTATGTCAGGTAACGAACTAAAATTGTCTACCTATTTCGACTCTTATTAAAAACTAGCACCGATTTTAGAAGGCTACATAATGTATGCTTCGGTCAATTTCACTCCCCTCCAATCACCGCGTTTCCCAAAAACTTACATTTTTTAAACAGGTCACAAAAATCAAGTTTTAAAGGTGCGCATTTTTCAGAACAGCCATTAGTACGGGAACTGATTTGACAACGAGGTGGAAGTCTCGAATGTAGTTCGCGCGCGGTGAGGAGCCGTTTTTGACAGTCAATAAAAGGAGGCATGTGTTTCTATTTCTGCTTTCAGTTCTAATACGGCTTATTTCACCAGGTAGTTTACTTAATTAAAATTATTTCTATACTCACAGGTGACAGAATCCCCAGTTTTCTCTTCCGTTCTCGGTCCTCGAACAGTTTTTTCTCTTCTGATTTTTGACGATCTGTGAGTGTGACATTTAATTTTAAAATAACCTGATATGATGCGACAAAGACTAGCGCCTTAGGCAAAGGTAATAAATAATAATTAAAATACAATAAAACGTTTTCATAGATTTTCCAATGACATTGCTGACTGAAGTCAGCACTTAATGTTGACTTATCGTGTGCGCAGCGGTGAAGGAAAACATCGTGAGGAAACCTGCATATTTTCGAAATAACAAAAAAAAACCCATTCGCAGATATATGAAGTCCGCCAATCCGCTGTGTGGTCGCGTGGTAGACTATACCCTAATACTCTTTACGGAGGAGGCCTGCCCAGCGGTGGGACGTGCGTAAGTAAAAGTCTATGTTAAAAATTTTACATTAAAATGCATTGTTTGTATATCAAATACATAAATAACAAAAATTTTCTTATATTATATTATAGGAAAAATTCACTTTAAGTGAAATTGCGCTTACATTTCAGTTCGATCTCTTCATCATCCAGCAACAGGGAGACCACCTCTTTCGGTTTCAGCGTGTCCGGCTTGAAGTTGCCGCCGCTTATAACCATCCTTTGTATCTGCGACGAGAGGCGTAATAAAAAGTTATCATCATATAAAAGTATAAATAAATATTTCAATACACATCTTTTGCACAGCGTTCTCCAGCCCCAAACTAATCAACGCTTATGCCATGGTTATTAGTTAACTGATAAATTTTATCTTATTTTATTTTATTTACACATCAACTTACAACTATCATTACAGGCTGTACCTAATGCGATAGTGAAGTTCCAATACAGTTAAGCTAACATATAAAACTAAAACTAAACACTGAAAACATGGAACACTGATATACTTAAACGTACTTTTCTTTTGCAAATAAATACACAATATACATATATAACCACCCAGACACTGGTGAGAAAGGCAGATAGAGAGGGGGAATAAGAGGAAGAGTTGATCAATACCTCCTGCTAGATATGCTGGGGAATCATTTGTATAGCGTGTGTTGGCGAGTAGTTAGTAAGGCAACTCGATTTTCGCATTCGACGGTACATATGAAAGATGGCGCTACATTCACTCTAGATTTTTAAAACTTGTTCATATTCTTTTAGACTCGAACCGTTGCCCTATTTATGCTTATATTTATATAAATATTGGTTTGTTAAATTATAATTATTATTAGTGAATCGTGACAGCTCAGTGTCCGGGCGCTTGCTTAATTCGGACAACCCGAGTTAAAATGTTGGTAGTGGCACCAATGAAATTCGAGTTTTTTTTTAAAAAAAAAACGGACGGTTCACAAACAAAAATTGCATGTGGGAAAAACACCCAGATTCGACTCAACTATCTGTAGGTCGCACAAACAGTTGTCCCGTGCGGCAATCGCACCCACGACCCACGACGCCGAAGCCAATTTAAAAAAAAAATGTTCAATTGCAATTTTAAGTGCCGATTTACCACGTGCTCAGCGGTGGAGGTGTTTCCTTCGCGAGGAAACCTGTTTATTTTCGAAATAATAACAAAAGAAAAACCCTTTCGAAGATATATAAAGTCCACCAATCCGCAGTGGGGCTGCGTGTTGGACTATACCATTGTCCAGCAGTGGATCATGTAGACTCGCTATGCCCTAATACCCAGTGTACAGAGGAGGCGTTTCCCCAGCAGTGGGACATATGGTCCGTAAGTATAGCCAACTCTTACGCCCGGTTTCTGAAACGCCGATCATCGTAGATGTCAACTAATCAGCCATCTGAATTGAGCGAGTTTAACCTTTTGACAACTCAAAGCTTGACGGGTGATTAGTCGACATGCACGATGATGAGTGTGTGGGAAGCCGGACGTGAGCGTGAGCGTTCACCTCGCTCTTCTCCCTGGCCCGCTGCACGATGCGCTCCTCGATGGTGCCGCGGCAGATGAGCCGGTAGACGGTCACCTGCTTGGTCTGGCCCAGCCGGTGAGCGCGGTCCATCGCCTGCTGGTCCACCGTCGGATTCCAGTCCGAGTCGTAGAATATCACCTAGAGGGGGCGCGCACGTCACCGACAGTCTCCTGAACTGGCCACTTGCATGGCCAATATTTAATAGTTTCCAACGAAAAAAACGACTTCGAACTGGAAACTAGTAACATTATCAACATCTATAAGTTTTGAGGATTTCCCGCGATCTCTCTGGAATACCATCATCAGATCTCGGCATCATGGCACCAACCTTGGAAATATATCCTTTCCAACAAAAAAAGAATCATCAAAATCGGTTCATAAAGGACGAAGTTATCTCCGAACACACATTGAAAAAACCACACATTAAAAGAAATCTCCTCATTTTTTGAAGTCGGTTAAAATGTAATTATAACATTTGAGAATATAACACTTTAGCTGTAGAATGCAGTTTGTTTCATCTGACTATCGGTTGTTTTTGCATTGTATTTAATACAAAAATTGAGAACAAACTACGCGGTCAACGATTTTCATCACCAGAAGAGGCACCGTATGTAAAATTGCATTTACGCAGAGGGAGAATGTATTGAGATACAATAAAATCATTTTAATAGTATTTTTTTTTCTTATTAATTCCGGAAGCGCCCTAAGAGCGACTCCTCGAGTCCGGCACCGGGGGGTCGCAGGTTCGATTCCCGCACGGACCGAACCCGTGTGACCTAACGATCGATCCGAGCTCCTAGGCCGTATAGGTCATTTACCCGTGACCTACGTGACCCTCAGTGACGAAGAATCAGCCGTCGACACGAGATTGGTACTAGGCAGATCGCTCACAGTGTCCGCCGCCGTCAGGTTGATGCCCAAACCGCCAGCGCGCGTCGACAGCAGAAACACGAATATGTCCGTACGCGCCTGCCGACAAAAGTATGACGCTCAAAACTGCGAGAAGGAATTGATTAATACAAAGAAATGAAACAGTCTACACGGAGTTGAAGTGATTTCAATCACGCGGTTCTGATAAATAATTGGAGTCATCATATTGAAATAAGTGAGTTTTTTCTAAATAAATGATTGACATAAAATCAGTACCTTTATTAATGCAATAAAATCAATCAAAATGTTTTAAAGGACTTTCCGACACAAGTAACGGCCTACATAATATACAAAAAATATTATTTTCATAATATATTTTTAGCTGTCAGTTCTGTTTACTTTTTTTGAACTGAAATCCTCTGTGTTATCTTTTATACAAGTAGTTTATACAAGAATTAAAAATAATTGATAAATATTCGAATGATTTTGGCATAACCAACAAAGATTGAGTAGTTTTACAGTTCTAACAGGTAAATAACGCTATTATCACTGTAAAATCATAACTTTTTTTGCAGATATGTAGATAATGATCATGTTTCAATAGAAATGTTAATTAGAATAGGTAACTATGGAGTTGCTGATAGTTTCACACATTCTAATAATTAGCATTTCTATTATGGTACACATGTCAGCGCATGGATACAAAAATCCATAAATAAAGAAACATTAAACAACTACTCATGTACTCATCTTTTGTTTTCATACCTGAAAATCAGCCACCATGTCGCGTCTAGCCGAAATCTTACTGGAGCCATCTAATCGCATGTACTTGTGCTTCCGATGCCACATGTACTCCTGAAACGTTGTTTTTCCTTTATCATTGTCGAGTTTAATAACAAGATAAAGTTGACCGAAAATAGCGCGAGTTATTCGTTATACGTACATGATAGTGCTAAATAAAATGTTTAATAAAACTAGCAAATACTGTTCACCGTTTTAAGCATGGCTCATGATACACAGTAAATTAAAAAAAAATTATGCTTTTCGGGTTCGACCAATTAGCTGCGACGTCTGATGAGTGAGGTAGCCGAGGCCCACTTTAGTAAAAGGTGGCAACACATCTTAGGGATGGGTAAAAAATATCGATATATCAAAATATCGATATTTTTCAGAAAAATATCGATACTAATTAGCGATATTTTTTCCCGCGATATATCAATTTTCGATATTTATTTCCAGATATCAAAATCGATATATTTTTAAAGCCCTACTGTCTGCTCATGCGTCACATCATGATTTTGACCAATCCGATTTCTTAAATTTAGAAAATATGCAGTAGGCTGTATGGGTTTAGTTTCTTTGCTTCAAACACAAACAAAAATTACTCTCTATGACTTGCTTGTCTATGACAATGACATTGCTTGTGACATTGACTGACTGTATTGTATTTTAGAGTGTTGGTACGACGAACGTTGTTTTGTTGTGTTGTCACGAGTAAACTAAGCGTGGCTCATTGTTATTTTTATTGTGTGAATTGTATTTATGTTAAACGTCATGTCTGCAGTATGGACGTTCTTTAAATAATGTCTTTTTTTTGTTTATGTCAAGCAATTCGATTTTTTTTTTTAAATAATAAAACTTATGCTGAAACAGCCAGATGTGTATTTGCTTTAAAATTTCGATAATTTTGGCAATTTTTATAAATAATTGCAAATTGGGCAAAAAATATCGATGTATCGAAATATCGATATTTCTTGAGTGATATATATCGATATATTTGAAAAACATCGATACGATAAATATCGATATTTTTTTTCCATTTGCCCACCCCTAACACATCTGCAACCCTTCTGTAAGTTTGTGGTACTGACCCGGACGGACCTTACCATTCATGCGACAGAAAAGACTGTTGCGTCGCCCTACCACTGAACCCCCACCATGAAAATAATTTTTACATTAATTCTTACATTAAAACGGAACTTATAAAAGATAATTTTAACGAGATATGAACTGTCATGGAAAATGTGCCTTATACTACTGAATGTAAGACGCATTGTCCAAAAAATATTTAGAAGTAACACTTAAACGAAATCAGTACCTCTAACAAATCAATCATTTTCGTCATCTGACTGTAGATAAGGACTCTATGGCCGCGTTCTTTAAGCCTCTTAAGTAGAGAGTCTAATACAGTGAGTTTGCCCGCGTCGCTGACAAGCTGGTTTTTATCTGAAATAGAATTAATGGAGTGAGCACAACGATAAACAAATTTGTTAAATAAAACTATTCTATGGGTTTTTTGAACTTAAGATCCTTACTTTTAATATTATAAACGTGAAAGTTTCTGTGTATGGATGTATGGATGTTTGTTACTCTTTCACGAAAAATTTACTGAATGGATATTAATGAATCTTTTCAATAATACAGTTTATTCATCAGAATAACACAAAGACGATAATTTATAAAGATATTGTGTGAGTCGTCTAAAGTGTCAAGCAAGCAGGAACAAAACTCTGCCACCTGGAGTATAGTTAAAACTATTATTAAGTCCGTTTGACGACGCGGGCGTCATTCTTCAATTAATATACAGCACAAAATAGGTCCCCCCGCCAGGTGATATCACTGCGCCGTGGAGTCATCAGAGCTAAGCTTACGGCGGTATTAAATAGCGCAGTGGCCCGCATTCCGCACGTGGCGATAATGAACAGTCCGCATTCGGCACTGTGGCGGTATTGAACAGTCCGCCAGTCCGCAGTCCGAACTATGGCGATACTGAACAGTCCGCAGTCCGCACTACGGCGGTGTCGAGTAGTCCGCCAGTCCGCAGTCCGAACTATGGCGATACTGAACAGTCCGCAGTCCGCATTAAGGCGGTGTCGAGTAGTCCGGCAGTCCGCAGTCCGCAGTCCGTACCGGGCACGTGCAGCGAGGCCCAGCCGTGGGTGGGGCGCGCGGCGGCCACGAGCGGCGCCAGCGCCAGCCGCCCTGCCAGGTGCCGCTGCGAGCGGTGCGCGTGCGAACGGGACGCAGCGAACGCCGCGCGCGTGCGGGCGCACACCTGCAACCACAACACGCCACTGAACGGATCTCTTTCTACACTTATTATATTTGTCCACTGCGACGGCCACTCGAGAACCTTTCTTCCCCATCGGTTATCAATTCCAAGAGCTATACGGCCGGCCCATAGCCACCCCAGCTCGCTAATCCTCTGAGCTATTTCGGTTACCATTGTTTTACTGCACCGCAGTGTAGGACGACCCGTTTGTCAAAGTCCCACTAGATGGTGTGGCGACCTGTGCAAGTGTGCATGTTCAGCAGTGGACTCAAACAGGCTGAAATGATAATGATGATAATTTCTCAACTTTATTTCCCGACGTTCAGTATAGCGTTAGAATCCACAGTCGAAGTGGTAGTAGCCCTTGTTCAGATAAAAGTAAAGTATCAGCCTATACATGTCCCACTGCTGGGCAAAGGCCTCCTCTGTGCGGAGTTCACCATGCGACCCCACTGCGAATTGACAAACTCCGTATATCTTCGAAATATTTCTTTCTTTATGAGAGAAGGTAGCAAGCAAGCTAGCAGTTCACCTGATATTAAGTGACAACTGCCAACCATAGTCCAATTGTAGAAACTTTGCCCCCTTTCAATAAAGTGAGTTTCAGAAATGTAACATTTCCACTTCACGCCGGTCTTTTGCAAGGTCGTGGTACCTACCCGGAAGGACCTGCCCAGTGAAATCTGTCCATCCGAAAAATTAGAAGCTGCTACGTGGCCCTACCACAGTCTAAGTGCAAACTCTTCTCTTGTATAGAAATATGCTCTGAAACAGACCTAAAATGTATAAGGGTTTATTAAATGAAAGAACCTTCTGCTGAGCCGTAACCAGGAAAGCGGGCAGCGGTGTGGGCATGTCCTGATATGTGATCGGCGAACGCTCCACGTGCGGAATCTCCGCAACCTCCACTGGCTGCGGCTCGACTGAGATCAAACCCCCCTCTTCCGTCTTGATCTCGCTAAGCATCTCAGTCTGCAAAATGGCATGGGATTTTACTTGCTTTTTCATTTTATTTATTCATGGAATTCTTTCAGCTAACATACAATAGCATGTATATAAATAGGACAGCCAGTTTCCAAAGTTTTACCAATGAATCAAACATTCAAGCCTGGCTATTTCTGCAACAACCAAAGCTACTACTCTACAACAGCAAAACACTTACTAAAAATTTCTTTATTGACTAAAAAACACTGTATAAATTTATATTTGAAAAGTTTATTCATAAAAACAATATTGAGATTGAAAGTCCTCATTGTAACTTTATAGGATTATAGAGACAAACCAACAAACAAACCTATCTTTTACAAATACATGTAATTCATGGATACACAATGTGGACAATTTTATTAAGACATTATTGATTACCTGTCCCTCTCCCACTTTTAAATTTCTTGAACGCATTGCTCGATGCTCAACAGTCTCAGGCATATAGTGAATGACATGGTCAGTATGTGTGTAAAATGGACCACCTGAAAAATTAGTTTAAAAACTTTTCCTTATGCTTCGATTCAATATTTTAAAGATACTTTGTATTATATTAAACTGGATATTTGGATATAGTACGTATATTATTCTTTCAGGAAAGTGTTTATAAAAAAATCAAATCCCACATACCAAATATTCTTAGATTTCAGATAGTGAACTTAATGAACAAGTCCAAACTACAATAAGTTACCGTTTGACACTATGTTTGTAGTGATTAAGCACAGACTAACCTAACAAAACTCAGCACAAATTACAACTAATGTTAAGTATTCATTAGGTTTATTCAGATTTTACCAATAAGAAATCAATATTTAATTTATTCTGCCAAGTCTTAATTCTCACCTTCAACCCAGCGAGGATCTGTGAAAAGTAGCTCTTTCCACAGCAAACTGTCGGTGCGCCTCTGTTTAAGGGTATCAGCATCAGGACAAATCAGTATCAAGTTCTTGCTGTTCACTGTATCATAATATGATGATGCAATCTCTTCTTCTTCCTCTTCTTGTTTCACAATGTAATGAGTGTTACAGCCCCACCATTGTTGTCTGTGACGTAACTTCTCAAATTTTTCTTGGCACTGTTCTATATGCTGTATTCTAGAAAAGAATAAAATTGGAGTTTTACAATTTTTTATAAGTTTATGCAACTATTAATCTACAATACAATGGAGAAATGTTAGGTTATCTTAAGCTCATGTTTTATATTAAACGTTAGTTGCTGCTATTTTGTTTTTGATAACTCTTTTAGCGCATTGCTAATCTATTGATTTTGGCGCCGCGTGCTTTGGGTTATACTCCGAAACGGGAGTTGTATTTGTATGAACTGAAGGTATTTTTTAGGAACTAGTTTCAACTATGCAAAATATGTGTATGTTTCAGTTGATTGTTTATTATTTTTATTAAAAAGAAATTGAAAATCTGACTCTGTAAACATCATATTTGTTGGGCTCATTTGGTCCAACCCAACTCACGATTGATAGTAAAACTTCATAACACTATATATTATCTAACATAACCAATTATCTGTTTGTCCAGATAAATCAATAAAAAGCATTATTTTCGCTGTCCACAATACTTTGGACACATTGATGACCATTACTATTATGTTACCTTTTCTATGCTTTTGATTTTGCCGAAAAGCTTGTGACGACCAATGGAAATAGCACAAATACATCCTGTATTTGTGTTTGTAATGCAAAAAGCATTGCAAATAATCACTGCACTTCAAGAACAACTGATTCTTTTGGCGGCCACAACGTTTTCGGACGTTGAATATGAAAATTGATTAATTTCCATGCCTGATGGAAATTTTACTAAGCCTATTGGAACAATTAAGATGCAAGTCTTTGCAAATGCAAAACTGCAGTTCTGAAACAAAGTAATCTATACACAAATATCGAAGGCACCTTTGTTTGTAAATAAAAAAAAAACTTACGCAAACAACCACCCGCACAGCATGACCTTATACAACTCCATCGGAGAGAGATCCATGAACCTTGTAAAGCTGAAGAACCGGTCTGGTGTATCATCATCACTTAAATTCCTATGCACATACTCTGGTGTGAGCATGGACAGCCTGTTGTACAGCAGGTGTCTTCTGGAGGGTATACAGTGTAATAATATTCCGTCTTCTGCTATTAACTTTGGCATGTGATAGTCGTCGACTTGCATTGCGAACGGCGATCTAACGTCTCGCCTCTCAAACAGTTCGGGGTGGTTGCAAACCTAAAAGAAAGCCAGACTTAATTTCTTTAAATTAAAAAAAATTACTATTTCTGATATTTGTGATTAAGAAAAACAATTTAAGCTTAGCAGCATACACATATAACCAGAAAAATTTGTTAGGTCTCCCAGTCCGGAGTGTTCTAATGGACCAATATTAACTTTTTTTTCTTTTTCTTTTTTTTATACACTCTACCCAGGACTCCTTTGCCCGGCAGTGGAATATACATTATATAGTTGTAATATGTTTATTTACATTACATATTTTTTGAAGTATTATGTAAAAATAATTAATTGTTTTAATTTTATGAAATAGAGTGTAATTACCTTCCTAAATTGCATTACTAAATTCATAAGGTTTGAAGTAAAATTCTTATCTACATTGTGACCCGACTCTGCTCCCACTGAGTAATGTAGTAATTCTTCAATTTTAATCTTCTTTTTTAAAGCTGAAAAAAATATAGACGATTGTGTAACATTTTTTTTATGTCAGAAGATGGCAAACGGTTTACCTGCTTTAAAGCGATAACCGCCGCCCATGGACATTTGCAATACCTGTAGGGTTGCAGACGCGTTGTCACCTTTTCATTAAGTGGGCCTTGGCTACCTCATTCACCAGACGAAACGCAGAAGTATAAAATCTACACTGCACGCTGGTCTTCTGTATAGTATTTCCCCAGACGGACCTGTACATTCATGCAACGGCGAACTGTTGCGTGGCCCAACTACACTAACATGATATTTATAATTAAAATCAGATAATGAAAAAGTTAAAATTGCCCCATATGAAATAATAAAAAAAAGAACTTATTAAAAATATATCTGTTATAAAAACAAATTATTAATTCACTGTTTGCAATATTACATGAGTTGATATAATGATTTTACTTTTCTTTAACAATTACCATTTCTAGCAAAACACAGTGTCCATATTCTGGTCAGTCAATAGCTCTATCAAGTTTCACCTAGTATAATTCATCACTAATATTTTGTGCACATCGAAAACATAATCCAGACTTACCTATATATAAAAGTCTCTGCCTTATAGTTAAAGGGCAGTGAACCATAATCTCAATTTTATCCGATAGCTCATTTTCCACATCTTTCTTGATACGTCGAAGCATGAACGGCTTAAGTATCATATGAAGACGCGACAAATGTTCTGAAATTAATTTTACACGTACATAATTCAGCTCAGAGTTATAAAGTTATATTTTGTAATCTTGTAAAGAAACAGAGATTACCAGCATTTCTGTAGAATACCAAGTTGTGATGTCATTTTCAATATTCTACCGTTCTTTTAATTTTAACGTACGGCCATGTTGAGTCAATTATAAAAGTGGTTATAATAATAACCATATATTAGTGAATAGATAGATTTGAGGTATATATCTTACTTTCGTCAATGGTACTCTTGTTTTCGGCATGACTTTCGATGTCTTTGGAGAACCATTCGTTGAACTCCTCGTGCGAGTCGAACAGCGTCGGCATAATAAAGTGCAGTAACGCCCAAAGCTCCGCCATGCTGTTTTGAATTGGCGTACCTATTTGTAGTAATAGTAATTGTCTAACTTAGGAAATTTACAAAATTATTACATGTAAAGGATAATTAATCTGTACAATGCTGTTAGTTATCTTTTATTGTCACTTGGCATGTCAAACATCATTTGGAAGTTGAAACTTCTGACACTCCGGTAGCAAATAGTTTCTGTATAAAATTACTGATGTAAGTTTAATTAAACAATCACGATCATAAATCATATACATCTTCATTAACACATAAACATCTTCATTTCGTGAATGCATAATCCTGAGCCACATGCATCCACCGACTTCCCGCACATCCGCACAGGTCACTACATCTAATGTGGGGCTGTCCCACACTGCAATGGCCAATATGAGGCTGCCACTTGAACACCTTTCTGCACAAATATTGTTTCCACAAGCTATATGACCAGCCCATTGCCACTTCAGTCTATACTTAATTTGAATACCAAATATGTACTAACCAGACAGCAGAAGCCTGTTCCTACAGCTGAATCCGAGCAGTAGCTTCCATCTCATACTAGCGGAGCTCTTGATCGCTTGCGCCTCGTCCAGTATCATATACTGCCAAGACACCCTGTTGAGGTACTTCAGGTCGGAGACCACGATCTGGTACGAGGTCACCACCACGTGGAACGCCGCCTGGCGCGTGTGCAGGTCTTTGCGCTCCCAGAACTGACGCAAGATCTTCCTCTCGCTCGGACTACCCCAATACGGCACCTGAAAACAGTACGATTCTGATGAATGAACCGAATAAATGTTATGGTTGCTTACTATTAGATGTTAAAAAAAGCCAGCAACAATATAACTAGGAAATAGTTAGTCTAGAAGACCAATTTGTTGTCTTTTAAGATTTGGATATACATTACTTTTTCTGTTTTATGAATTCTTACATTCAAGAACCAATGTCATGTTGGTACTGAATAAGTTCAGTTACGAAAGATGTGAAAGCTTTTTAGATTTTGTAAACGGTTCCCTTTATTATAATCTACCCTAAGTTGGGCTAGTTTACAAAGCCAGGGCATCTATGCAGGGTACGCACGACTTTGAAGTCGGGCACGAATCTCTGCATCTCCTGCTGCCAGTTGTGCAGCGTGGAGGCGGGCGAGACCACCAGGAAGGGGCCCCACACGCCCAGCCGCTCCGCCACGTGGCACAGGAACGCGATGCACTGCACCGTCTTGCCCAGACCCATCTCGTCCGCCAGTATGCCGCTGATGCCCTGAAAAAACATTTATTTATAGAGCTCAACTCCGAGCACTGAAACAATTAACATTATTTCTCACACTATTTATTCCCTACATGCACCCAATGGCGGCTATAAAATATCATCATACTTAAGAAACCACCATTTGCGTCCATAGTGAAGTTACTTAGGCGAAATACTCTAAAAATGTAGTAAAATTAAACTGTCCTATCCCCTCACAGTGCAGCCATAATAATAAAACAAGCCAGCTGTTATAACAAGCTGAGGATAACTCCATGGCGCAGTTGCACAGGTGTTAGCCTCGGAGCCGCAGGTCGCGAGTTCGATATCTACATGGGACAAATATTTGTGGGTCACCCACAGGTATTATTTTTGTATCTTGGTGTTAGTCAACACGAAATGTATGTATCTAAAAAGTCTTAACACACAGTAAAATCTTCTCAAGGTTTTTTCTTCAAAAGCTAGTCTAATCTAGTGAATATGACACAAGGGCAACGAAAATGAGGCACTCAAATTACACCAGTTGGTGTAATAGATTAACCTGCTATCTCTTTCCAAAATCATACAAGCTATAACATGTATCACATTCACTTAAATATTAAAGTAGATAGTTTTAATACTGATATGGACTAACTAACCAATATCGACATGCGTCATCTTTATTAAAACATCATTGGTTCCATACGAGCCAACGTCGCACCTGGTCGTAGAGGTTGGCGAGCCAGTTCATGCCCTTGAGCTGGTAGCCCTTGAGCGTGCCGCGGAAGATGGCCGGCTGCGAGTGGTCGCCGGGGGGGTCGCCCCCCTCCTCCCCCTCCCCCTCCGCCCCGCCAGCGCCCGCGCCGAAGTGCCGAGTGCGCGCCCGCTCCGCCCGCAGCGCCTCGCGAGCGTTTCGGGAAGCGCGCGCCTTCATCGCCTCGCTGGGGACGTCAGTATCAACGGTTTTTAGGGTTCCGCCCCAAAAGGGTAAAACGACCCTAATATCCGCTGCGTGTCTGTCCGTCTGTCACCAGGCTGTATCTCATGAACCGTGATAGACAGTTGAAATCTTCATAGATGTATTTCTGTTGCCGCTATAACAAAAAATAGTAAAAAAAAACAGAATAAAATAAACATTTTGAGTGGGGCACCCATACCACAGACATGTTTTTTTTTGCCATTTGTATAGTTAATGGTACGAAAACCTTCGTGTGCGAGTCCGACTCGCACTTAGCCGGTTTTTTTTTATGTGAGAAATTATTATGAGTACAAATTATATTGGGAAGTAAATACCAACGACCACCGCGACCTAGGTCTATTGTAGTCTTCCCTTTGAAGCTGGATAGCCTTCTCCAAACCATTAACCTTAACGAAATTGACGGTCGATGAAGTTCCCGACCGCAAAAATTGACCAGGGCATCGCTTAACATAACAGAAGATGTTTGAATATTGGCCTTGTAATGGTAATTTCACCTGTCATAATTATCTATAGCGGCAAGCCTCGGATCTCTGTCCTCGTCGAGCTGCCTCAGTATGCGATCCGTGCCACTGTCGCCCTCGTCGCTAGCGTTCAGTTTCCTTTGCATGAAGTGCGCGTACAGTTCGGTCTGTGTGATTAGGAAATTGAGTTTGCGCCGTTGACGCTTTGCCTCCATCAGCTCGACGTCCATCTGTAAGAGAAGGAGAAAATAATGAAACAACTAGAAATAAAACATACCGCCAAACTACTACTCTTGTAGTATAATGTTGAGGGTCAATTAAGAGAGGTTATGATTCTTCTCTGAGTATTCTATTCAGATATGAAGTTTTGATTTATAAACAGAAACTAGTTTAGAAATTATTACTTAAGTAATCAGTTTATTAATATAAATACAACATAAAATTGAATTTAAGATTGAAGTCAACGCATCTGACATCGGGTGTTGTAAATGTCTATGGGCGGCAGTGTTTACTTAACATCAGGTGAAACGCCTACTAGCTAGACAACTTTACACATAGAAAGAAAAAATTATCTGACAGGAAACATGCAATATTTGTTATAATGTCCTTACAGTGTATAAGCTTTCCCTATTGATGAAATTATATTGGGTCACTGCTCAATACTAGATGTGTGAAAAGGGAACAAGCAACAGTCTTTGTTGTTGCATGATTGACAGGTCTGTCTGGTAAGTACAATAACCTCACAGAAGGCTGTGAGGTTGTTGTACTTCGGCTTGAAGTGGAAGAGTTATACTTCTGCGTTTCGTCTGGTGAGTGAGGTGACCAGGGCCCACTTTAATAATATAACGGCAGCATACCTACCGTCAACAGTTTTGCTAATGTCAATGGACGGCGGTTATTACTTAGCATCTTATGAAACACCTTATGTATCTTACCTTATTATTACCTTCCCACAATGAAATTGAAATAGTTCTAAATCAAACTAAACAGCTTTGAACCTAAACTAAGCTTTACAAAGCTAAAACTTCAAAGCTTTACCAAATAAAAAAAGGAAAGAGACCTTTCTCTGCTCTTCAGCCTCCCGCTCCATTCGTCGCCTGGTCTCCCTCTCGGCCCGGTCGTATCGCCGCCAGTACGCTTGCATCTCACGACTGAGCCGCTTGCATCGCCACACCGTCTCCTTCATGTTTTTTTGTGACTGGACCAAAATGTTAAATTATTTTATCCATATTACATTAATTTAGTCATGTCCTAGTGATTTCGACACAAATGTTATATCCTTTACAGCATACTAACAATTTCGAATGTCGTTTTACAACGATACTCCGATCGAAAGGTGGCAAACAGCCGTTTAGCTTAGTGGTTAAAGCGTATGGGCGCGAACCCCGAAGACGTGGTTTCGATTCCCACAGTGGTAAACTTTTATTACTTTCTTCTACAAATTTTAACATCACATTATGTAATAATGCATTGGTGCAGCTTCTTTCGAATATCGTTTTATAACGACAATTCGAACGAAACGTTACAAACAGCCGTTAAGCTTAGTGGTTAAAGCGTATGGGCGCGAGCCCCGAAGACGTGGGTTCGATTCCCACAGCGGCAAACTTTTCGCACTTTTTTCTACAAACTTTAATGTCACATGTCACAACACATCACTGCAGCATTCCGCACCTGCATGGCAACGTGCCGCCAGTGCTTGCAGCAGAGCGTGGCGAGCCGCTTGCTGTGCAGCACCATGTCGCGGTGCGCAGCGCTGCGGGCGCGCTGCACCTTGCCCAGCTCCTTCTTCACCAGCAGCTGCCAGTGGCGGCGGCGGCGGGCGGTCAGCGCCTCGGGGCTCTTCAGCGACGACAGCTTCTTCCTGCCTCTGTAAACATAAATTGTTTGTGATTTCACGTTATTGATATTATCGTCAAATTTAAAAATAGACTTATGGTGTGGACCTGCTTACAGTATTAAAATGAAAACCTAAAATGAATACAAATGTACATTGCAAATATTAGTATTCATATCTTGGTAAATCTTAAAGCAAACACAAAAATTAATTTGTAAACCTTGCTTTACATCATATATTAACACCATATAATTATCAATATTAAATTTCTGTTCGGTCATTTTGGAACCTATTAGTAACAAATATTATTTGTCTGGGTCTGAAAATTTTTCTGAAAATGGGGCTTTTATAAATAGAAGTATTCACTTAAGCTTTGGCATTATTTTGAAGTCACAAATGTCAAGGACACTTAGTCTTCAGTATACATTAAGAAATTTATTCACACTTGAAGTAAAAGATCATGTTATTTCAGCCACACTGAGACACTCATCAAACATCACAATAACCTTAAAACCAAAAACAAACTTTTAGAACCCCTAATACCAGTTACATATCACCAAGGCTACATTCCAAAATGTGACAACTTGTGCATCTGTTAAGTTCATGAGGCACCATCATGACATATCTTTAGATATGCATGTCCCTGAACTTTGCTCTTATCACTTGTAAACTTCAAGCCGCCAAGTCACCACTCATTTTATTCTATAATTTTGCCAATAAATATGTATGTGTACCTGATACCCGGTTTTTCCACAATGGTGAATTCATCTGTATCATTTTCTTCCTTCAAATTTCGCAGCTGTTCTTCCCAATCAACTCCATCAGGCTGGCATTGGATGAGAAATTATAACATTGCATCATCAAATTTAATTTATCATATAGGTATTTATCTTGACATAGATGAAAAAATAAATTATCAACATTTATATGTCATGTAATACTATATACAGATATGACATTAAACTAAATAAAAAAAATAGCTGACAATATACTAACCAGATCACTGCCCTCATTTAAACCACTGCGGTTCTCTCTTACTCTCCCTCTCCTAGCTTTTTGTAGCCCCCTAATGGACCCCCTATCAGCCGGTCGGCCTCTGCGGCCTCTCAACGCAGGTGCCGGAGGTAATGGCCGACTGATACGGCGCTCTGGGTATCTATCAATCGTGGAAAGAAGACCAGCTCCATAATACATGTAGCGCGAGTTCTATAAAAGAGATTTTTATTTATATATACAATGCAATACTCCTTATAAGTTCACAGCTAATTATAGGTATTTTGTGAGTTTTAAAGGCTAGTTTAGACAAGGAAGTAGCAGAAGAAAAAGAACTGAATTGGGCACATCTTTTGACCTACATACATCTTTTCACAAATATAACATGTGGTGGTCCCATCATATTTCTGGTTCTCATACTGTTTATGTTAATAGAACTCTATATTCAAAATACAAAATATATAGAGTTTGAATTTAACTTACTTTAAAACATATTGAAAGTAAGTCTAGAGAAGAATCATAGTACTTAAAAACTGTTGATCATATAAACCAGACCAGTAACCCTACCATAATTCACATGGTGAACCCACTCCACCAAGACAGGATATGGGGGGGAGAATAGAAGGTAGTGAAGTGAATCAGTATCAAAATTACCAAATCCCAAAATATATGTTTTAAATAGAAGTTCAAAAGTAATGAAGTCTAAATAGTCATGGTTTCAATCCAGTTAAATTTAACTTAAAGTGTAACTCACAGCCATGATTTGAAAAATTTTGTAACAAATTGTTTGTAAAAAATTGTGATATTAATGCACTGATCTGCAATATTTTCTGCTTTCCAATATAAAACACAAATATATATTGACATTGACTTAATTTCTGTTATTTAACTAATTATTCCAAACTCACCCCTGGATCTTTGTAATATTTTTTTGCATATTTGTTGTGATAATACCGCTCTTTTAATAGTCTTTTAATTCTTATCTCTTTGCCAGATGGAGTATCATCATCACTGCTTGTTTCATTACTCGAGGATAGCAAAATATCTCGAAGCCACTCCCGCTCCTCACCAACAGATGCTAGGTTGTACAAACGTAGGCGATCACATTGACGTTCTGTAAATATTACATCAATTTACTTCACAATAATATCTAATATTAATTCAAAATTTCCTGCTCGTCATATATATAATATGTATGACGAGCAGGATGAATATAAAATTAAATATAATAAAAATTGTGTCTCACCTTGCTTTGTTGTTACAATTCCATGCATTATTCTATCACCTTTAGTCAGTTGATTTTCAAATGCTTTTGCAACTGAGTCTTCACTATCACTCCCTCCATCAGAGTTTAAGATATTTTCAACCTGATTTACAAACGGTCGTATGTCTAAGGCGGCTTCCAGCCTCTGTATGTGTATTGGTCTCGCAACTTCATGAGGCTTGAGTACTGTCTTCCCCACAACAGATTTATCAGACATAATTTCAAATCCTAGAAAGTATAGAGTATGTGCCTGATATGAATTTAGTATGAAAAAATCTCGCTAACTAGATGAAAACGAAACAAAACAGTAGCGAGAAAACGACTATCATAGTAACCCTACCGCAATCACTCACGAATCGAGATAATTATGAATAACACATCGGGCTTGTTTGACCCTTCGTACAAAGTTGTACTTACAGAATTTTGTTTACCTGATGACCTCACGGTGATTACTTAACACAAAACTCCATAACATTCACAAAATGGCGAACGAGAATATTCGACAAATCGCTGTCAATGTCGCCGCCCGAGCGGCGCACATAACTACTCATTTCGTATTTGAGCTTGAAAAAACACGAACCCGCCATAATACCTAAAGAAGTTTGACAACTATCCAGGTTACCAATTTACACTTTGATTGGAGAATTAGAACCCACATGTCTTATTAACCAATAAAAGATAAAAATGAAACACTTTAGACCAATGGTAAGAAAAATCTTTGAAATTGAAGTGAATTGTAATAGAAAACAGCTCTAGGAAACGTTTAAAATTATGATAGACCACAAATCATAAAAATAAGTCAATATTACATTTTTTTGGATTTAAAAAAGATAATGTTCATGTATACATATATATCTATGTATATTTTATTGTGTTTAATAAATATTTGTATAGCAATAACGTCTTCTTTTGTGTTAATAAATCATTCTTTATTTACTGTGAATCGACATCGACATTAAAATGTAATAAAATTATTTTTATCTAGTCCAGGGCCAACTGCAGAAATAATATAGTTGTCAGAGTTCTGCCGTTTTCTACACGACCTCTACTAAACTTATGTAAAATACAAATTCAGAAGAAGTCGTGTGTTTATATTTCTAATGTCATATTTGGGCTTAAACTGCAAAAGTATATTGCCGTTCTAATCTCGTTAGAGAAATGTGTGCAGGGAATTTGCCCTGGGTCAAAATTGCTAAGCTAGTATTGATAGTTTATAACAGACATTTAGGAGTGTATGAAGAAAATCAAAATTTATTTCTTCCACTCCTTTCTTTATTTGACGATGGTCTAATACGTGTACAATATTGTCGAAGAATGTCTAAGAATCCACAATAGTGTCTAAGAATCTCTATAGCTGATCTTCGTACATTTGTAATAAGTGTAAAACTTTGCAATTATTTAATTATCTTTAACTAGCTACTCTTATGTTCTGCCTAAAATTAATAGATTAATAAAATAGCAAAATTATTCACTCCTTCATAGTACACAATTACATATCGGTTTTATTTTTTCCAGCTTTTCATATATAGGTGAATAAATGTTAAACTCATCATAATCCTCCTGCCCCTATCGCACCGAGGTGGGGTCGGCACAGTGCCGAATTAAGTCACGTAGCAAGAGTAGCAATTGATACGGGCCCCGCATATTTAAACCCATTCATCTCTGCCTGAGCGTAATTTTTTGAGTGGGATTTATTAAGATGTGGTATATTGAATTTACTTGATGTAACAAAATGTGAAACAACAACTTTTGCCTCTTAGACATTCTCCGTCAGAAAATCGGTAACCGACTATTTCCTTGGCTTATATAAAACACAGAGTTTCATACAGTACACGCTTGTGCGTTTCAATATAAAAAAGTTGCTTTTATAAACGTGTAGAGTTTCAGTCGGCCCGATAATCAGCTATACAAAAAGTCTGACGTATGCAAGCACTTTTACCAGTACGTAATGTGGATGTGTAAGAGAATTGAAATGGGTAAGTATTATTAGTTAATATAAAAAAATTAAACATTATTTACAGTACACCATTGATAAAATATAACATTAGCTATTCCTAAAAAATATAATATACTTTGTATTAAATATAAACTTCGAAATATGTATTGAAAATATTAATTTGTGTAGTATCATCAGTTTCCAATTGATAGTTTCTTATCAAAATTGTTCTAAATTGTAAGGCAATCTCTTCTCTGGCTTTTTTTATTTGTCAGATCCTAGCAGGGCTTATAGTAATCTACTAGATTATTAATTACACAAAATTCTAATCTATAAGGCAAATGAACGTTTTGAGTATTGAATTGTTTTTTACTACTTTATACTTAAGAACCCATAGCAGATCAAGGGCTATTTGAAAGAATTTGCTACGGGCCCCGAGTTTGCTTAATCCGGCACTGAGTTGACACAAGATGTGAATCATCTTGTAAGTGATTTTGGCTACGTTTTTTTACGATCGACGGCCTGCCGAACGACAAATCTCTTTGGAATCATACACCCCGATCCAGTACAATTATCTGTGAATCACACAAATACTTAAGCCGAGTGGGAATCGAACCCATGACCTACCAGGGGTCGTGGGTTCGATTCCAATAACTTAGCAATTGAAATTTCCGAAGCCAATAGCTTAACAACTGTGCCACCAAGCCAATGATCAACTGAGATATTATTAAAGAAAAAAATTGTAGTCAATTTTATTATTTTCGATAGAGATTAAGTACGTTACACTTAAAAACATCAATTAATACTTAGTTAACATTAAAATCGTGTTTTATTGCTGTCAAGTGGAATCTTTCTTAATTATAAATAAAAACCGGCCAAGTACAAATCGGACTCGCGCACGAAAGTACGTTCCGTACCATTATCTACAAAAACGGCAAAAAAAATCATATCTATTGTATGGGAGCACCACTTAAATATTTTTTATTCTATTTTTTATTATTTGTTGCGGCAAAATAAATACATCATCTGTGAAAATTTCAACTGTCTACTGTCTCTATAGGGGCCCATAGTGAATGAAATTTACTATCACGGTTCATAAGTTACAGCTTGGTGACAGACAGACAGATAGCGGATGTGAAAATACCCTTTTGGGTACGGAACCCTAATAGCCCCATTAACGATATAACGTCGATCAAAAATGTTATTAGGTCAATACTATTAGAAAATTTGCGAATTTTACATATCAAAGAAAGAATACATGCATACTTATAACTCATGGAAATTTAGATAATATAAAAATCAACGTGTATATATCGAGGTGCCCACATCCGGGGTAGGTTACTTGATTTATATAAAGGAAACCAAAGTAAATAAAGCTATTTGCCATGTCTATTACAGCTGGGACAGCACAGCTTTGAGTTTGATATGCTGTTTATCAGAAATTAATGAGCCTGTAAGAAAGCCGGATAATATAAAACTCCTGAACTTTACCAACACCTATACTCGTCATTCATGATTCCACTTAGAGACCATGCCAAATCGATATATGATCGTACTCTTTCTTCCATGTAAAAAAGTTCAATTAATATAATATGTTTGAAGTTATACTTCTTTTGGCGCGTTTGGAAAAAAATATGAGACTGAAATTTGTGCGATGGATGGACACCGACAGCCAAAAATTGACATGATGAAGTTGCTTGCAACGCGATTGGGTTAATAATTGTTAGGGTCGTGTGCTCATTGAGTCGAGGGTACCCTTCAGCAAACGCCACTGGATACAATGACTGCTTGTAAATAAATCCTGAATCTTATAAAATACTAAAAATATTCCATAAATTTTCAGTGTTTAATCAAGAATAAGTCTTATTTATTGTTTAATATTTTTATTAGTTAATATACTTCGTGATTTTCATTTATCTAAGGTTTTTATTTTGACTATGTAATATTAAAACTAAATCTGTTCATAAATCATGTGTACATGCCCTTATTATCGTGTTTGCGTCTCTCCGTCTCGCTATACCAACATTGCCATACAAATTTACTCATTTTATAATCTATTTAAACATAAAATTCACAAAAGTAAGATTGCCAAATCAAGATATGGCTTTTATCTTATTTTAAGAAAATAATAATGTTTTAGCTATGAAACCTTATGAATATATTGTTAATAAGATGTTAATTTGTTACAAACATTGACATCCGCAACAAATTGCAGAATGGTTGATTCCAAAATGGTGGTCGTTTGTTGTGCTTTCAAGTGATCTGTTACATTTTCACTTTTACGTGAGTAGTATTCAATTTTAGGTAGGAAATAATGGTTATTCATTTCATAAAAGTTAGTTATTTTATATTTAATTGTTTTCATTTTTGTTTTTGTATCTGACCATTTGCCATTTCAATTATCTTTAAAGAGACTTGCCTATGCATTCCCACTGTATAAAATCTTTAAAGAATACGTGAAACAATGAAATGTTAATAACATTTACTTTTAAAATGTAAGTATGTACATATTTCTTATACAGTTATGCTTTTGCTATTATTTACGTCGAACTATCGAGGAAACGAATAAGCGCGGGATTACCTGTATGGCTAGAGTTGCATCTAGCGTCATTTATCTTTTGTAATTAAATGTAGCTAACTGTATTTATCTCTTCATATTGCCAATATAAATTATGTTATAATCGGTAACGAATGCACAGAGCTTCATTTCATATATAGAATGAATGTAAATTCTAAATATTTATAACCTAAAAGTGATCACCGGTGCGAACTGTTTTGTGTTGTATTAAGTTTGTGTATAATATTGTCTAACGTTTCAGATATATGTAGAGCTTTGAAGCTACTTATTCCAATAAGATTGGAAAATGGATGAAAAAGGTGTTCCTGAAAATCCTACCGAGCCAGAATATCATACGGAGGGAGATGGAGATGGTGCAGACAATAGCGATACTAAGGAGGCAGAAACAGGCAGTTCCACAGACATAAAAGAAACTTGTCGTAATCCAGAAAGTGAAGTGAAAGATGTTGAATGTGACTTAAAAACTGTGTGTGATACTGAAAAAACTTCAGAGCTTCCAAATCATGTGGATCATAATTCCAGTAAAAATAGTGGTGTGGTGCAGGAAAGTGAATCTTATGATAAAAGTGACAGTAAAGAATCTTTAAAGTGTGATGAAGTAAGCAGTACACCAGATAAAGGTATTTTAATTCAATGTGATAAGTGGCTCTACATATAAAATTACTGAGTAGTTTGTATCATTTCTATCGAGGCATATATTATTTTGGTAATTCTCTTTGTATGAATACAAAATGTCTTACAATCTTAATATCTGCACTTAAAAATGAAGTACACAACATAATATTTTAAAAATGTAGCTAGTAACAGGCAAAGACCACATAATTATGATTTTTTGCTGTGTTTGAGTTTATGCTGTGTTATAATGTTGAAATTAATGTTATTTACATTATAATATCATAATAAATATGTGTTATTCTGTTCTATAATGTGATCTCATATAGAAAATAGTATTATAATACACTAGCTGTGCCCGCAACCTCGTCCTCATGGAATTAAAAATAAATAAAATTTCTAAAATAATAATAGCCTAAGTTACGCCTTATTATATCAGCTATCTTCCAGTGAATATCCTGTTAAATCGGACCAGCTGTTTCAGAGATTAGCCGGAAAAAACAAACATACAAACAAAAATTGTAAAAAAATTATTTTGGTATATGTACCATATGCATTTAGCAAAAAGCGATTATTTTAATATTACAAATTGACACTCTAATTTTATTTATCTGTATATATAACAACTTTAGCTTATTTTTAACTTTGTGTTAAACTCTGTATGTTACAACAGTTATAACTGTTACTTATAATTATAAGTTATAAATATTAGTTAGATTAGTTAGCACTGTACTAAATTTTTAAAATTTGTTTTACTCATACAATGTTTTCTCATTTTTCAATTTCTAATCCACTAAATCCACCAAAATCTAATTATCTTTATCGGTATTTGTAGTATTATTTGTAGGTATTGATCTTTAAATTTTTTAACCAAATTTATTTTCAATTACTTCAATTAATGTGTTGACAATTGAAGCTCTAAACCTTATTTTTACATAAAATTGCAGTTAGCAAAGAGGCATCAGATAATAGTACACATGAAAGATTAAAAAATGTAGATATTACTGAAGAAAGTCCAAAGAAAGATGGAGATGAATTTATACAAGAATCAAATTCTGAGGGGATCTCTCAGAGTGATAACAAAGATAGTGTAGAAGAAGTAGCAGATAATGAAGACAGAGAAGAAAAAAAGGATGAAGTAGGGAAGCCAGAATTTGAAACAGCACCTAATGTTTCAATTGATGAGCCTCAAGAAGATCATACACAGGTACTGTAAGTTGACAGTCTATACTGAATTGAAAGATAATGTGATGGTAATGTTATACAACTTTTAGATACATGAAAGGTCATTTTGTAATAATCACATTAATTTTCACCACATATTTTATAATACCCTAAATATCACTGCTATTCAGCTTAATAAATCAGCCATTTAATGCAGACACTTAATAGTATCTAAGAAGGATGTATGTATTAAAACTAAGTAATAAAGATAGAAATATATTCACAAGATTTTTGGGCTTTTTTCTTACAGGCTCTAGATCCTTTTGATGCTCTCTTGAGAGATCGAAGCGATTCCACCACAGAAACAGCCGAGACTGCAACCCAAGCGACTGTAAACGTTGTCGACGTAGATGATGACCATGATGTGTACAATGCCGATGACCACGGTGAAGAACATGCTGACGACCACACTGATGACCATGTTGGTGATGACCTTGTTGATGACTTAACACAGGACGATGATGATGAACATCATCCAGGTACTTCCTAACTATCAGGATTATTTTGTTTTTTTCTCATTCCCTTACTTTAAAAAAAATAGATTTGAAATGAGGATTTTTCAGTGGTTTATGCTACACTGTGTAGCACTAACTCACTTCTGGTTTTTCTTCTGTGTGTTGAACACCTCCAATTTTATATTGTCTTTAGAAATGCCACATTACAAGGTTGACATAAATATATTTTCCTTATAAAAGTCTTCCTTATAATGATCTACCAACTAAATACCCTCATTGGCTACCTTCAGTGCCTTAAGAATAATTTTGGAATTGTCTGTGTAGAAATCTAGTACCTTCTGTTCCAAGACTAAATTAATCCAAGGATTATATTAAAATAAAATAATCTGCGTATGTCCCACTGTTGGGCAAAGACCTCCACTGTACCAACTGCGGAGTGGCGGACTTCAAAAACCTTTATTTTTTTTAATGTATCAAAAAAATGCACGTTTCCGTACGATGGTTTACTTTAACCGGTGAGCATGTGATAGATCAGCACTCAAAGTTAACCATTTCATTGACCAACACCAGGATTTGAACTCATGTTCAAATCTTGGTGTTGTTTTCATGTTGTGTCATTGTTATCATTGTTGTAAAAGCAAGAGCGCATTGAACTATTAAGACTTATGATCAGTGCCGGATTAGCCACGAAGCAAGAGTAGCAATTGCTACGGGCCCCGCGCGAAATGAGGCCACGCATATTTAAACCCGCCCATCTCTGCCTGAGCGTTAACCGCGCGTTTGTTTAAAGGTGAAGAATTTTATTCGGCCCGATAATCATCTATACAAAAAGTCTGACGCACCCAAGCACTCATATCACACATAAAATTATCTATTTTATGTAATATTAACAGTCTACATTATTTTTAGAATAACAATACCCATAGCAGATCAAGTGCTCTTTGAAATAATTTGCTACGGGCCACGCACTTGCGACCGAAACTGATTATGATAACTTTCGCATAGATGAGTCCATGGCGCAGTTGACACACTAAGTTGGTTAAGCCACGATGCGCCGAAAATGGTTCGAGTCCCACACGAGACTACTATTTGTATGACCCGCAGGTTTCAATATTCTATCTACAGATAGATTTGGGAACTTGGTATTTTGGTAAAGCATATTACTTACGTCATTGTTCTATCTCCAATAACCAAATCTATCTGTAGATAGAACATTGAACACGGCCGTCATCTAACCATTTCCTCACAAAATACGAAAAATCCGCATATTTCGCTCTTCAGAAGACACGTCGTTAGACGACAGCGTGGTGTCGGGGCTGGGCGAGGAGCCCGGCGCGGACGAGGAGGTGTGCCTTCTGCCCGACACCGAGCGAGAGATCTCCGAAGCCGACAAAGCCGAGGCCGAGAAGGCGCTCGCCGAGAAGAGAAAGCAGGCCGAAGGTTCATCACCTCTCTTTTTCTCCTGTTCTTTCTTTGTTTTAATTTTGTCTGTCAGATAACACCTTCATGTTTTTCTTACGGTGGAACTAGGTAGTATCAAATTGAGCTTGAATGTTGATCAGGTGGGTTTTTAAACTTATTATTCGTACACAGAACATTTCAAATCAATCAATGTCAAAACTCGCCAAATTGTAGAAACAGATATAGGTGGACGTAAAAATTATATTCCCTATTACACAAACAGTTTGTTATATTGTATGTTAAAATTATTATACCAAACAGTAGTCAAAACCAGTCGCCCAATATCTTACCGCTTATCATCTTAAGCCAGAAGTAAATAGCAATATTGTATGCCATCTTGCCAGTTTTTGTTCACAGCAAAAACTAAGCTTATTTAAGACAATGTAGTTTCTAAAGCATTTTATTAAAACTAATAACAGAACTCCAGGATGAAGGTATATGTTATATTCCCCATTTGATAATCTATCCAGTGATCAGATTTTTTGATAATTAACAAGCTGCATTTTTAATGAATGTTCAGCCGCTGCATCTGCAATACTAGAAGGGACTGAGCCCAAAAAGGAGAATGAGTTTGCTGGCGAGGAAGAAAGGAGAAGCAGTACGGAGGAGCCAACGCAAAATGATGAGGAATGTGATGCAGGAGATCACCCTGCGGGGGAAGGCGAAACGGACGACGCTGCTCATGAAAACGGAGGTGACTATTGTTGGCAAATACTAATTAAATAATTAACCGCTAGACTATATACTAATAATAATATACTGATGTAGATATAAGTACAAGTCAATGTCGAATATTTTGAAGAATAATTTTAGGTAAATCTTAATTCCAATAGCCAGTATCACTACAACATAGTATGTAGTACAATATCGACGTTAGAAAAATTACTTGTCCCAACCCATAAAAAATAGTATCAATAGTCAAATAAGATGTAATACAGCGTGTCGTTACCATCGCAACAATAAATAAACACACGTCTAACGCTACTTGCCAATAATGATAAAAAAAATTAACGTTAAAAAATCCATGATTAAAAAGAATATTTTTCAAATAAACTAAGTAAAAAAGAAAAATTTGTAACATCCTTTACAACTACAACTGACTGATTCATACATTCAGAGACTTTTTCATTCATTGTCACAGCGTCGCATTACAAGCCTCTCCTTCTAACAGTATGTTTTGTCTCTTTTAAATTCTTTCAACCCATTCATATCCTTTGTGACCTTTACAAATGAACTTTACGTTACAGTTTTATATGTAAGGGTGTTCTAAAATTCTTTGTTATGGAAAATTTAATAACTCTGTAAATATTGATGTTTAAAGAATGTAAATGTTTAACACAATTTTAAAAAGTTATCCACTATATGTGTGCGATGTAAAGACATGCTGTATACAAGTGAAGGAAAAAATGGAAATGTTTTTAAAATTGTATTCTAACAATTTATAAATTTAAAGTTATAATTTTTACCATATAAAAATGTGTAACACATACAAAGAACTTCAAAAAGGAGAGAGTTCTAAATTAGCTTGTATTACCTGTTTGGAAAACACTGTTTTTGTTCTAAAGGAGATAATTTTCGAGAAGGTCTTATTTTAGTTTCATTGGCATGGGGCTTTGGTTTGATTTTTTGAAGACAAACTAGGGAACTCCTCAAAACGAGTAGAACTGTTGTATAGTAAGTGAGGTCTTTAAAGGTTTTGTTTTTGTTAGTAAAAATGTTATACGAGTTACTATGAGAGTTATAGCTAATGAGTTTTCTTACTGTGGTAGGGCCACGCAATAGTATTTGCTGTTGCACGCATGCGCAGGTCCGTCCGGGGAAGTGCCACAATCTTATAAAGGACGTGAAATGTTATTGTTGTTATATAGTTGTGCGTTTCTGTCAACGCATATGCGCAGCCCTACTACACCCACCATGTAGTATGACCGTGGGTGGTGGTTAACACCTAACATCAGGTTAACCGTCGAAACAGTTATAAACTGTGTATTGTATTTTTTTTTTAATTGGAAACACAATTTATTTATCTGAAATGTAATAAACCTAATCCACGCGGCATGGTGCCAGAAACGCTAGCTGCTTATCCTCGCTGAATATTTATGCTTAACCTTTGAGCGAGAAAAGGACAATCCATCTAGTTACCCAGTCGTAGTACCTTTTAAAAATTCGATGTAAGGGGACCCGACAGGCACAAATTTTTCAACAGCAAATGGCACAAATACATAATATAAATAAAGAGACTCATATTTGCGCCCTTTACGTCAGCTGCCTCCGTTGCCGCCCCGGCCCTGACCGATGTACTCTTAGATGAGAGGCAGCCAAAGTGTCTATGCAAGTAGCATTCCAAACAAGGGTTTTTCCTCTATTATTATAATTAGTTTTTTTATTAAATTATTAAATTTTCATTTCATTTTCCAGATAAAGAGAATGAACATGATGACTCTGCAGAAGCTGAAGCCAGCTTTGTGTCTAACACTATACAAGAGATAAGTCCCTGCACTGCTACATGTGTTCAATGTAAAACGGAAACATCCTGTAGTTATCGATTCGCCACTAAAGAAATTACCGAAAATTACGTTTGCGGTGAAACCTGCCTCAAAGGCTTCATCGCCAATCACCCAAATCAATACACCGTAGCCTATAAGAAGTATCTAGTTGAGGAAATAGTACCGAAGCTCATGACATGCTCGGAGTGCGAGGAGAAAAAAGTATGCTATTTTTATTACAATTTCGACGGAGAAGACACGAACTATTGCTCCATCGAATGCTTGCACAGCATGATGGCCGACGAAAGGGACAAATACGTTTTCAGAAGGAGACGGATAATAGTGGAGGAGAAACCGCGAAAGGACGCCGAATGTTTAGTGTGCAAAGAAACGAAGAAATGCATGTACACCATGATGCGGTACGGGAAGCTTTACTCGATATGCGAACATAGCTGCATAAAAACGTTAAACGACGCGGAAAACGGGAGGTACACCGTGAGGAAGAGGCGTACGCCCAGGAACCAGACGCAAACGAACACGACGCAAGCGAACAATCCCCCCTTGCTTAAACTGAAAGTGATTAGTAACGCAACGGACAAGTATTTGGACGAGGCGTACAAAATCAAAGCGAAAACCCCAGCGATGATCCAGGCCGCGAGGGAGGAGAGAGAGCGCACGTTTGTTCGCCACTGCTCGCAGTGCAACTCGGTACTAACTTCGGAGGACAAAATGCTGATGTGGGAGACGATGGATTTCTGCAACGAAGTGTGCCTGGGACGGTATCAGAACCAGATCGGATCGAGATGCGCCAACTGCTCGAACGCAGTACAGCACACCAGTCTGGGGAAGTACTGCGTGCGGTTCGGCTACGACATCCGTCAGTTCTGCAATTCCGGCTGCCTGGAGGAGTTCAAAAAGGGACTAAAGATCTGCTGCTACTGCCAAAGGGACATCTCGATGGGACACCAAGGATTCCTGGCACCCGTCGGCGATAAAGGGCAATTTAAAGACTTCTGCTCGCAAACGTGCATGGAGAAGTTTGATCAAATGAGTAAAAACCCGGTCCCCAAACCCGTTTGGGCCAAATGTGCAGTTTGCTCATTACAGAAGGGTACACCGATTGAGGTGGAGGTCAGTGAAGAGGTTACACAGAGGCTATGTTCCGATCCCTGCTTTGCCGCTTTCAAATTTGTAAATAACATATTTCCAGGTCAGTATGTAACTTATTCACTGTCAATATTTTTTTTAATAACAAGGATTTTTATATATTAAAGATATTAACGAGTAACATTTCCATAATACATAATTATTATATACCATATACAATATCAGTGGAAATAAAGTACAATGTTATATTTTACGCAACAGTGCTCTCTTGCAGATCAGTGTCGGTGGTGTAAAAAGTACTTTGAAAGGAAAGCGTCCAAGTTCTTCACCATCTACGAGAACTCCAATCCTCAGTGTTTCTGCTCGAAGCCCTGCATGAACGTATACATAAGCAACTCGAGGCACATAGTGCCGTGCAACTGGTGCAAAGTGAAGAAGTACAACTTCGACATGATCAAGCGCGTCCAGGCGAACGGTCAAATGGTTCTGATGTGCTCGCTGAACTGTCTAAATCTCTATCAAGTCTCCGTTAATGCGGTTTCGTCCAGACGGTGAGTGAGAAATCTGTGTGGTTCTCATTGAAATGTAAAAAAAAATAATGCTTGTAACCTTTACATGCTGTTGAAGTAAAGCTAAAAAAAGACAAATAATTTAGTTTATTATTAATATATCTTTTTATTTTAAATGTGTAATTCAGATACATACTACGTAAATATTTAAAAATCGGATGCTATGTAAACGCGTCATCGCCGTAACGTTCCGTTTGCATTGTCGTCGTCCAAAGCATTCAATTACCACTTATTCGCGCCCAAAGAAGTTTTACTTCAAAAATGCGTCCAATGCCTAAACCAACAACCTACTTATTTTCTGCAATTAATATTACATGCAAAGCGGTTCATCTGTTGTGATGTGAAAAACATCAGGACACTAACATTAATTTGTGACTAAGGCCACCTATATGTAAACTATATTGCCTGTGTTTTATTTTTATGTATTGCCTTTCGAGCAATAAAGTATATTCCATTCTATATTTTAAATCTGTTTTTTAAATCTTTCGTGAAATTTTTGGAAGGTTATTTTTTCTCCCTCAAAGTCCTTTAACCTAGGTAGCATATTTTCAAGTCTCAAATGGTCATTATCAAAACTAAATTGTCTTTTTGAAAAGAAAGCTCATCAGCCTACTTTTTTAATGTTATAATAATTTATATTTCAGGACGAAATGCGACAGATGCAAGCGTACCTCATTGGCTCAGTATCACTTGACAATGTCCGATGCCACTGTAAGGAACTTCTGTACATACCAGTGCGTCATGTCATTCCAGGTAACTATGCACTTAGTTTTATTTGTTTACAGTTAAGGAGTAAAAAATCGAATGTGCTAGAGCTATTGATCAAAATCATGGGAAGTTTTGATCATGTTTCAAATAACTTCTCCTGTCTAAACGGACGCAAAGCACACACAGAGTCGAAAGAATAATTATTGGGATGCACACATTTTTGACTCATGTAGGTAGCGAACGCAACAGCAGTTGTCAAATTCACCAATCTCTAATATATACCGTAAAAACTCTTTTTCTTTGATAAAATTCTTGTCTCACCGAGTAACGAACGACAAAGATGGGATATATGTATTTTATTTTTTATAATTTCAAACTGGAAAGTAGTAATAACGACATAGTCGTTACAACCGTACTGAATAGTGATTGAAGAGTAGAGTAGAGGCGTAAGTAGATTTTTAATCTAGGTATCACTCAATACGTCTCAGGATTAAGTATCATAATAGAGTACAAACTCTTATCATGTATTTAGAATTGTTGACAAGTCTGAACGCATTGGATACCAATGCCGAATGACAATCGACCTTATGATTTGCGGGTTAAGGTCGCTTATTTAATGATTTAGTTTTGTGATACTTTTAGCTTAGCAAGACGGTATGATGGATGTTCAAACTACAATCGGCCTTATATCTCATTCACAATGACAGTTTCATTTGATTTGAATGCAGACTAAGCAGGGTAAAAATTAGATTTAATTTTTCGTATTTTTGTAGAATGTCAAATTACTTAATTATATAATATAATATTTTTTTGTTATTATTTCGAAAACACGCAGGTTGAAGAACACGTTGAAGGAAAAAATCGTGAGGGACGGACGATGTTTTCCTTCAACGTTGAGCACTTGATAATTCAGCACTTAAAATTTCATTGACTCTTAGAACTCAGGTTGCTTGAGTATTTTGAATTAAAAGCGAGCATCCAGACTGAGATATCATGTTTATAATAGGCTTCATCAGAATATCTAAAATATTTGATTGGCTTTTGGATTCGACTTTCGACTTAAATAATCTATTTATTTTAGGGTCAATATAATTAGCCATATGGTATACATTTAGGGTGTGTGGTTCTTTTCTATACATAGGCCATTTGCTGACAGTTACATTATGTTATAAGTCTGTGAGCTACAGACATCAATATACCTGATGCGAAACCTGACGCTAATCCTTCAAAAAAAATCTTCACTTGCCATTAATTTTCTTTCTTCTATATTAATTTTCTTTTTTCAGGGTCAATATTCCAAACATGCGGCCCCTATGGTGACGGGGGAATCCGTGGAGCCGAAAGCGGTGCCTACCGGTGCGCCCAGACGGACGTACACGTCGGAAAATAAGAACAATGGTATAAACCACACAGTACATAGAGCATACAAAACTTTGATGAGCCTATAATGTTCTCCCAAGTCGTTGAACAAATGTTTAAGAATACATACCGTTAAGTTTAGGCCTGCACGGTTAAGTTTTGCGTGTTCTCCTTTACTTAATTGCAAATTCGTCATGCAATAATTACCGACTCTATTATTGAATTTATTAGTAATGCTTAATGCATTAATAAGTTTATGACTTACGCGGCATCCAAATACTTTAATTTATAGTACCATGAAAAGCGTTCAATATCTTCCAGCGCTAGTGCTACTATGTTATTTTGCATTCTTAGTACTGCAAAGGAAGCACATTAGGAAACGCCAAGCACTGGGTAGAGCGTCCGGACGCGTAACCTAAAGCGGATTCGAACCGTGGCAGCCGCAAAAAAAAAGTGTGTGCGTTTACTTGAGTACGCACAAAAGAAATTATAATTCTTTAACGAAACAAAACAAAAATATCTAAAAAAAATATTTTATTTGTGAAAAAGAAGACATTAAATGTATCTACGGTGGTAGGGCCACGCAGCAGCCTCGGCTGTTGCACGAATGGGCCGGCTCGTCCGGTTAAGTACCACGACCACACAAGACCAGTGTAAAGTGGAGTATGACAAATACTTTCGCGTTTCGTCTGGTGAGTGAGGTAGCCGGAGCCCAATTTTCAAAAGGTTGTCAACACATCTGTAAACCTCGGGTGTAACAGATTTCCATGGACGGCGGTATTCACTTACCATCAGGTGAACAGTCATCTCGTTTGGCAACTTTTCACATAAAAAAAAACTCGATACTTAAAGTTCATACGTTTTTATAACGTCAGGTAAGGATTAGTATGCATACTGTTATTGTTGCTGAGGATTAGTATTGCGGTTTCACTTGTCGTACGTAGCAGTAAACAATAAAAACTCGCAATGATTATAATAAAGTATACAGCGTGTCATTACAACCGCGACAATAAATGAACACACGTCTAACGCTACTTGCCAATAATCATAAGATAATATTAACGCTAAAAATATCCATAATAAAAAAAAATATTTTTCAAACAAACTAATTAAGTAAAAAAGAAACAAAATTTGTTTCATTCGTTGCCAAAGCGTCGCATTACAGGCCCCTCCTTCTAACAGTATGTTTTGTCTCTTTTAAATTCATTCAACCCAATCATATGCTTTGTGACCTTTACAAATGAACTTTACGTTACAGTTTTATGTGTTCTAAAATTGTTTGTTTTGTAAAATTTAATAACTCGGTAAATATTGATGTTTAAAGAATGTAAATGTTTAATACAATTTAAAAAAGTTATCCTCTATATGTGTGTTCATTTATTGTCGCGATTGTAAAGACTCGCTGTATATGTAGTTTTTGACATGTTATGACAGTTCTATTTATTATATAGGAAATATTGGAGTGCCTTATGAGGACCATGCCCTAAGAAGGTCATATTTATACACCACATTGGGTATGACAAACAATTATGGAAGTGTAGCGCTTAAATTATCCTATCCAATAGTCCTATCAGAATGTTTTCCCCTCAAACCTAATACAATAGGGCGCGCGCTCTGATTGGCCGTTATTAACACGTTCTTATTGGATAACAAACAGTATTACAACTTTTAAGACAAATAATTATACATTTCTAAAACCCTTAATTACACATTTCTAGACAAACAATTATATAGTTTAAACAATTTTGTTTCTTGTGTTTATATTTTTTATTTATTATTTATTTTTTAAAATATCCTTAAATATTATGGTGCTTTATCTACATAGATACAAATTACCAATAATACTTAAAGTTATAGACAGAAGAAATATTATATCTTATTATAGCTACAGTGTACATGAATATTGCCAACAATTACTATACATAAATTTTATTATATATTTCCTCTTCAGTTTTCAAGATGCCTGTGTTTAACGCTGAGAAGTGTAAAAATTATCGCATCCGGAAGAATAATTGAATTAAAAGAGAAAAAAAAAAACTCGGAAAAAAGTCAGATGTATAGTTATGAAAAGAATCCTTGCTCTAAGTCAAAGTCATATTTCAAATTCGCCAAAGACTTTTGGATCATCTGCTCTATCTGTTACTACCGGTATAAATGTAAATCAAGCATTTAAATAATTTAATATTAAACATTTATTAAGTTATTTAATTGAATCTTCATCATTTGCATTTAATGTCTTTTTTTTTCACAAACATGTTCTGGCACACGGGATATAATTTTATTTTGCTACGCTAAAGAAGTATAACTTCTTATGTACATACATAAGTACACACTTTTTGAAGTTATGCTTCTTTACACGGGTTCCGAAAAAATTATGAAAGTAAAAAGTTTTACCATTCGCGCACACCGACAACCAAAAAGCGACAGGATGAAGTTAGCTTATAACTGTCTCTCAAGTTCCAGATTCAAAGTAGTTCCTCAAATATTCATAAATTTACAACACGTTTTATATTAGTGGAGATAAAAAATTATATTTATTCATACACGTGTGTATGTGATTTTAAATTATATATGGTGAATAAAAGTGACTTATCTTAAAAAAAAAACTTTTTGAGTGCATTTATAGATTAACTGTTGGTATGTATTCTTTTTATTTGTTTACATTTTAAGTTGTTATTATAATTACATTATTATTTGAAAAATAATTTGTTCTACTTTTACTAGGTTTCCCACTTGATTCCGCATACAGACATAATTATATATTATTCTTTCGTTATGTACTTTTTATACTGATCATTGTAAAATTTATTTTCTATTTATTTTTCAGCTATCAAGACACCTAAAACTAATGCCGAAATTTGCAAGGAATATCGCAAACGGAAGAAAGATAAAATGAAAAAGGTTCCAGAGATATCAGTGAAAAAAAAGAACAACGCAAAAAAGTGCCAAGAGTATAGGTTGCGCAAAAAAATGCGTGCCCTAGGATACCAATCGTTTGCTAATCAAGAATTACACAGTGGAGTGGACGGCACTCCAGATTCGCCAACGACTTTTGGACCACCACCTTTGCTCGTTACGACTGGTACAAATAACAATTAAATATTCAAATAATTATTTCTTAATTCATCATTCCTTATACACACAGAGTTGTGGCATACGGGGTGAAATGTTTAGCTATTTGTGTTCAATACATACAAAGAGTTGTAGCATACAGGATGAAAGCTTTAGTTAGTTTTGTCGCCAAAAAAGTATAACCCCTTACGTGCATTGGTTTATTTCGTGATGGAACAATGTTTAGAGTTATCCAAGAAGCCAACATATGGACAGTATGTTTAAAATTTGTACGAGAAATGGATGAAAAGTTTTTCGTCGCTGAGGGAATCTAACCCACGTCTTCCGGATTAGCGCCCAGACGCTTTAACCACTAAGCTAAACGCTATGGCACTTAGCGATGAAAATATCAAAGTATTTTATCTACAGCCTTGGTCAAAAGTATTGAGCACCATAATTAATATTTTGTACGTGTACAAAATGAGGAACAAAAAACAAAGCCTATTTAAGAATTAACCATTCGGTCCCTAATAAGTCATAAAAACATATTAACCAGACCGGTATTAGTAAAAAATTTTTGTATTCCTATATCAGTTCGCTACTTTCGCTCGTTTCATACACATCCAGTGCTCTGGTGTGCTATTATTGTTTTGGTTTGTTACGTTTGGTGATATTTAGTCTACATGCCGCAAAATAAACTTGGTTCAGAGAAACGTGTGCAAATTCAACTTTTGCAAGGGAAATGACAAATAGAAATTTCAAAAAACGAAATGATCTCGCCGATCTGTGCAATATAATATTTTGAATAGCAAATAATCTGCTGTTACCGGATAACATAATAATAGGCCCAAAAGCGGATGCAAATTTATTACAACAGACCGTGAGGATCGAAATGTTCACAGAGAGTTATAAAAAATAACATAAAACTTATTAAAATCTCGCCGCCGAGCTATAATAATACTCGACTACTAATTTCTACTCGAACCGTACGTAGAAGACTTCAGGAAGCTGGTTTGAAAGGCTGTAAAGCCAGGAAGAAACCCTGGCTCTTCTACAACTTATATGAGGGCTCTAAAATATAAAAGATACAATTAAGAAGATTGGTTAAATATCGTGTGGTCAGCCGAATCAATCTTTGAGGTTAGTAAGTCGATTTGATTAGATAATAGCCATGAACAATATGACTTCAAAATAAAATACATTGCTAAAAATATTTTTATATGATTAAACTCGTACATTATTCTGTATTTCAGAGTTTTGGTACATCCGGTGTGACTTGTGCGTCGCCGAGTAAGCGAAGAATTTCCAATGAAATATTGATCTTATATGAATAAATGATGAAGTGAACCAATTCAATTGTTTTAATTTAGTCGTTGTAACATTCCTGGAAAATTTAATTATATGGGTGCTCAATACTTTTTGCCAAGTATGTACAGTACATTGCTATTTTAAGCAACGCTTGGCGCATCTATTGTTACCTCCTTTACAGCAGACAAACAATTTTAAATATCGTTTTACAACAATAACTCATGAGTCGCCATTGCTATTTGAAATTTAAATTCTCGTAGTGCCAATCTCGGCGCGTAAGATTAATATTTATATTTTAATTAAATTATTTTTTTTTCTACAAGTTATATTTAGCACTATAAAGAATTAAATTTGAGATAGTAATTGATTAATTGACTTTACGCGAATAATATACATATTAAATTAAACTAGTTCACGGATTTAGATTGGTGACCATGAACGATTGAAAGGGTTCGAAACTTCAGGAATTGAAATTTAAAATTGAAACGCGTTAAAATCATAAATAAACTAGTTTCATTTAATACTGAGACATATTATCGCGTCGAAAGCCTTCACAGTCTGTCTCGTTCTTTGCAGCGTCCAAAGGGCAGCAGCGCGCTTCGGGGCTGCCGATCATCTCGAAGGTGCAGTCGCTGGCGCCGCCGCCGCTCGCGCCGTCCGTGACGCGGGGCAAGTCGAAGCGGCTGGCGGCGCAGGCCGAGCCGGAGCCGCCCCAAGCGGCCAGGAGCCCGCCCCCGCCGCCGCGGCCCCCCACGCCACCCCCGCCGCCGCCCCCCAAGGTGTACAACCACGTGATCGTGAAGACGCTGCCGCCCCACGAGGTGGCCAACAAGGCGACCATAGCGAGGCCGATGACCGCCTCCAAGGGCGTCTCCTGCCGCCCCCACCCGTGCACCAAGGAGTGCCAGACGGACCCGAGCCTCGAGCGGCGCGTGCTGATCCCCATCCCGGTGCCGATCTACGTTCCCGTGCCGTGCGCGATGTGGTCCCTGCCGTTCCCCGTGCCCGTGCCGATTCCCCTGCCGATACCGACGCCCGTTTTCATACCGACTACCAGGAACTCTGCCAAGGGCATAATGAAGGAGATCAACAAAATCCACGACAAGATGCCGACGGACCCCTTCGAGGCGGAGCTGCTCATGATGGCCGAAATGGTGGCCGGCGATAAGAAGAAGGACCAGAGCGATTCCGATACGGAGGATGAGAATGGTAAATAATACATTAGTGTTATTTTGATTAAAGATAGCAGTATTGTTTGGACTAATGCTGAATACATAAAAATGTAACATTTCCTCAAACATCTGATGAACAAAGTAATCATAACATATATTTTGTTACCTTCACAGAGGAAAGCTTTAGCCCTGTTGGTGGAATGGATGGAAACAATTTCGGCGAAGATATGCTCCAAATGGCGCTCAAAATGGCGACGGAATATGAAGACCAGCCTGTTGACCTCGAATCCGCTATGACCGCTAATACTATAACGCCGAGTTCGCATCCTGGCATGCCAGGTATATTATGACTTTTATTACCCTTAATCTGCTTTACGGAGAGGGCCGCTCTTGTCACGTTAGGGCATATAGGCTGTTACTTCCATGACTCCGTGGCGCATTTTCCAAGGTATTGCCTTCGGCGCCGGGGGTCGTGGGTTCGATTCCGATCGGGAAAACTAGTTGTGTGACCGACAGACAATTCTTTCGAAATCGGGTGCTGTCCACGTGAAATTTATGTATGTATAAAGTCGTTAAAACACAGTATAATGTTATCTTAAAGAAATGGCAAAGTTTTTAAAAAATAACCATTTTTTACTAAGGAAAAACAAAACCGAGTTCAAATATCTCGCTCTGTATTCATTTTATAATTGATTTTGAGGAGTTTCCTAAGAATCTCCGGAGCCCAAGATCAAATACCAACGAAATTAATATGGGACCACACGGGAAGGACAAGCTTTTAAATAAAAAAAAAGAATCATCAAAATCATCAGGTTGACTCACTCACAAAAGTGCTGAGGTAATTAACATAAAGAAAATTCAGTCAAATTGAGAACTCCTCCTTTTGAAGTCGTTTAAAAAATAATAATCGCGCAGGTCTCGAGGGCGAGGGGATGCACGCGCACCAGATGATGCTGCTGGAGCAGCAGCGCGCCGTGGCGGCGCTAAGGGCAGCCGCGCCGAGGAAGCGGGCGCCCGCCGCCGCGCCGGACGCGCCGCCCGCGCGGCCCGCGCGCTCCAAGCGGCGCCGCGCCGAGCCGGCGCCGCCGCCGCCCGAGCCGCCGCGCGAGCCCCAGGAGAAGCCCGACGCCAACATGTGCCTCAAGGTGCCGTGATACGCGTCGTCGCATACCGTACCCGACTCGAGGCAACAGTGAATGGGTTTTTACCGAGCTGTCGCGCTCACCTTCAAGGGCTGCATAGCCTTATGATGATAATGCATCATTTCATCCCGTTTGAGTCCACTGCTGAAGACAGACCGCCATGACGCACGATCCTGAGCTACCTGTTGCATCCGTCGACTTCCCGCATAATTGTTATTTTCAGTCTCTGTGCATGTAATAAAGCAAATGTTTTTATATAATAATAAAGCGAAGGTGGGATAAGTCAAGAGCTAGCGAGTTTTGAATTTAAAAAAAATTCGCGCGCAACGGTTCGGGTAGTACGTCCCGATGAAGCGAGGGATGTCGTTCTTTGTTCTGGAGGAGATGTTTTCTCGAGGGGGTCCCAGTTCAATTTCTCTGCCATGGGACTTTGGGTTTCGAAGATGAACTAGAAGACTGCCGAAAATCGAGTATGAACTGTATAGTTAGTTAGATATTAAAAGGGAGATATTAGTAGAACTGTTAGTGCAATATTAAAAGGGTTTTTGACTGTTTGTTAGTAAAAATGTGAGTTACTATGTGAGTTGCAGCAAATGAATTATCATAATGTAGTAGGGCCATGCAACATTCTTCTCTGTTGCACGAATGGGCAGGTCAATGGGGGTACGGAACCCTGAAAAGACTGAATCCTAACGGTAACTTGAGTTTCATTGTGCAGAGTACTTGTAACAGGAATATAACAATGGTATATAAGAATCAGTTGCAATCAGGTGAATGCTTGCTCTTTTGGCTTCTTTACGCGCTATAGCTGGATGCAGTACTGTACGGTTTGCGAACATAACTATTACCTTTTTTTCTAACACTAACAGCACCACCCAAGTCACCTTTACAACGAACATGCTGTATCATAAAAAACGGACAACCCTTAAAAGAACACCAATTCTCTCAACAGTACACGTTCGGCGTCAACGCGTGGAAGCAGTGGGTCATGACGAAAAACGCCGAAATAGAGAAGAGTTCGATCCGCCGGAAGCCGTTCAAGTCTGAGATCCTGCAGTTGACTGCGGACGAGTTGAACTACTCGCTATGCCTCTTCGTCAAGGAGGTGCGAAAGCCCAACGGAAGCGAATACGCACCCGACACGATTTACTACTTGGTCCTAGGTTAGTCCCCTGCCCTGAGTTTTGAGTGGCTTCTTGTTTGAGTTTGAGTGAGATTTCGAAAAAAAAACTAATTTGATGTTTTTAGTCATATCTCCTCGTATTCACCGAATTTTAATGTTCCTAAGAAACTGTTTTACAGATTTTGATATTATAATTATTAATATCTTTATTATACAATTAACATGGGAGTGTTCATTGAAATAACGCAAAAAATGAATACGTAATTTTTTTCGAAATAGTCAATGTATATAGTAATAAAAAAACAAAAACTCTTTTTATTATTTTTTTGGTTATCTATAATAACAAAACTTTATTTTACAGGTATACAGCAATATCTTTTCGAAAATGGCAGGATAGACAACATATTCACCGATCCATACTATGAGAAATTTACGGATTGCTTAGATGAAGTAGCGAGGAAGTTTTCAGTTTTATATAATGATTCTCGTGAGTACAATCATCTTTTCATCGCCTTTAATAAAAATTTATAGCGAAATTTGGTTTGTTTACATTGGTTCTGTGTCTTTTACAGAGTACATAGTAACAAGGGTTGAAGAGGAGCATCTATGGGAGAGTAAACAATTAGGAGCACATTCACCACACGTTCTTTTGTCTACGCTAATGTTCTTCAATACTAAGCATTTTAATTTAGTGGTATGTACTACACTTTCAAATGCAAAGGATTATACATTTAGAATTTTCATGACAAATTTTTGTATGTAAATCAGAACTGGATTTCTTACTGTATTTGTTTTTTAGACTGTAGAGGAACACATGCAGCTTTCATTCTCACACATAATGAAGCATTGGAAAAGAAATCCCAATCAGCCGGGACAAGCTAAGATGCCCGGCTCAAGAAACGTGTTACTACGCTTCTATCCGCCACAATCTGCGCTAGGTATGATTTTGTAAAACCTAAGCCATGTATTTCTGTCATTGATCATGTCATTGAAAAAAATAATAAACAATTAGTTTTTGCTCTTTTCACCTTCTTATTTTATTCTAACAAGTTCATTTTGTTGGCAGAAGCAAATTCGAGAAAGAAAAAAGTTTATGAACAGCAGGAAAACGAAGAGAACCCCCTGAGGTGTCCTGTCAAACTGTATGAATTTTATATCTCAAAATGGTATGTACTATAAAAATTTTGCTATTATCAAATTCTAGCCATCCTCATATAATTTGCTTTATAACTTATTATTAGAGTATGTTTGCGAACATTTTAATACATAATTGTTATTTTCAGTCTCTGTTCTTCTTTCTCTTCTTTCTCTGTTCAAGAAAATGTTTTTATATAATAATAAAGTGAAACGTTTTTAAACGCAGTCCAGAATCGGTGCGCACGCGCAACGACGTTTTCTACCTGCAGCCCGAGCGGTCTTGCGTCCCCGACTCGCCTGTATGGTACTCAACGCAACCGCTAAGCCGCGCCGCCCTCGCGAAGATGCTGCACCGCGTCAAAATGGTCAAGGAGATCAATATCGCGCTGCTCACCAGCTAAGGTAAACGACTATGTCCTTCAACGGACGGTGTCCTTTTTTTTGGTATCTGGGGAAATCTTCGTAAGATACCATGATATCATATCATCAGATATTATGTAATGTCAGGGTTATGTGGGGTTCTTACCCACTAAAACCCCCTCGGTGGCCACCTAACCTTTTTTTATAAACTAACTGGCCAGTCCGTGACTGCTAGCCAACGGAATATTTGGACTATGGACTACAATCATTGTTGTAGTGCCATTAATACAATTTTTTCTTACACTTACTTGTTTTTGTCCGTTATTATAGAAACAATAATTATTAAAGTAACTGTTATATTTATTTAGTTTAAAGTACTATTACTTTAAACTAAATAAATAAAATATGTATGCCCATCTGAACTATATTTTTCTAAATATGGCTTCCAGCAGTAAATTTCCGATTTCAATTACAATTGGGTACAATTCAATTAAGAATGTACAGTGGATCTCCGGATATCCGAAAAAAGTTTTGCAGGGCGTTGTGGGACTATCGAATTTGTCCTATTATAGAGTAATGATTAAGGCCCCCCTTCCACCAACCCAATAGACCGATTTTTTGAAAAAGAGTTATCTAACAAACTATTGATAAAAATGATAAGATTGTATCCAAACTACAAATCATAATGTAAATTTATGTCGTATTTAGTAAGTTTAACAACACAATAGAGAGTGTATGTTTTATTATAATGAAGAAAATAATTTTATTATAAAAGATTGCTAAAATAATGTATATTTAGCAATAGTAAGCATGTTGGATTATGTCAAGGGGCGCCGCTGAATTAGAAGGGCTGTGTGTGCTTACCAGGGGTTTATTGTATTTGAAAATTAATGGATTATTATTATACTATTCATCCATTTCATTTTTCAGATTGCACCGTAAAGTCAGTTGCGGACTTAGAATACACATCAGTTTTCACAAGGATCCTAAATGACTTACAGCCGAAGTATCTGTATTAAGAGTTTGGGATCTCTGAACATGATCATCATATAATGTTATATTAATAGCAATGTATGTATATTTTTTCTACTTGTATATCAAGCCTGTGAAATGGACATTCAAATGTTACTTTATTGCATAGTTAATATTAAAAATGTTTCTTTTTGATGATGTTGCAATTAATTTAGCCATAAGTTTTCTGTGCAGGACTGTTTTTGTATGTACAGATAAATATAATGGTTATAATTCTATCAATTTTATGTCTTGCGTCGATTTCTTATTTATAGATTTTTTCAATGAATAGAACGACGGGAAGTAAATTGGACCATAATGTATTAAAAGGTCTAAATTTGTATATACTAACGCCAAGCGACTCTCAAGGAACAATTCTCCTTGGCTTTAAAATAAAGTTTTTCCAATATGTGAGGAAAATTATTGTACTGAGAAGTTTTATTACAATTGTGTAATATTTTAATACTTATTGCTAAATAGTTAAAATTTGAAGTGATAAAAATTCCAGGTATATAATTTGGGAAGAATAAAAAACGCACTTAAGTTTTCTAACAATTATTTTATAGATTGGATATATGACTATACTATTATTCTTACAAATAGATTTTTTTATTGAAATAATATAGCTTAGAAAAGAGTCAGATTCATATTATATTTTAAGTATAATGGCATCAGTTTTAAGGTTTAGGTAGGGTTACTGCTGTGTAAAAAAATACTGATTCTCATATGTTTGCGTTTTTTTTAATCTCCCTTTGAATATCATGTGAGCAACTCATATGAATTACCTTGGCATTTAAAACAACTGATGAAATGGTTAAAGGTTGAGCCAAAATACTGCATCGGTTTATAAAGGAATGTAACAGCTTATATAGCTCCCATTTCGGCACAAAGACGATCCCTATATATATAGGGTATAAGAGCACAGTACAACACACTTTCCCACCAAAGAATGTAGTCACTACGTTTATGGTTCCCACCGCGGACTTGATTTATCTTTTAAAGTCTGCGTCATGATGTAAAAAAAAATCATATAGACCTCCTTTTTTGAAGTCTGTTAAAATCGTAACTAAGACGCTTGCATCATGTACCGAATGGCGCACAAAATGTCTACTAAAATTGGTAGACCAGCGTTTATTTACGTCAGTGTCATTTTAATCACTTAAGGATAACGTACTCACGAAAAATAATTATGCCGGTTTGTGATATCAAATCGTGTTGCAATTATGTTGAAAATCGTATAATAATACCAATATCACTTTACAAATGTAAGTTTTGTTATTTAACCACTATTAATTTAACAAAACACGATTTTTTAATTCGTATTTCGTAGGTTAGTCTGGTTAGCCGGTTTTGGCAGTTCAGTATTTTATAAATTACATAATTTATTTGATCAGTGAATAATAATTTATTATTATTAATATTATATACTTTATTGTACACCACAAAGAATTTGATACAATTAATGTGAAATAAGTCTTAAAAGCTCGGTACAATAAGGCGGTCTTATCGCTAAAAAGCGATCTCTTTCAGACAACCTTAGGACGAGGAAAAATAAACTAATGAATAGTGGGAGGTGGTGTGCTCAATAAATGCTTACTTAATACCAAAATAGACTTAAATATAATGAAATAAACAAAATTATAATAAACATATATAAATAAATACACCAGAGAAGAATTAAATCTGAATATTGCCAAGAGGTGTAATTTACCTATTTAAATAAATGAAACCCAAGACGTCATGCACTAAATAGTATTTTTGTTAGTCCTTTCTTTTATTTTTCAGTTTTAGAGCTTCGTTTGTTACGTATTGCTCCCGAATATGTAGTAGATGTAATAATTCAGTTAGATAGAATTATTATTTATAAGAGTAATTAATGATGAAATAATTGATTAATTTATAAGATTAATACCAACTTAATTATTTTATAATCTAACAGATTGCAATTCTAGATAACAAAGTTTCACTTCAACCAAACTCGTGTAACACATCCTATGAACGAGTTAATAATTAAGGAGTATAGTAATTTGTACAATGATATTATATACAAACTAGCAATCCGCCCCAGCTTGGAACGGGTGCAACGTATACACTATACATATAAACTTTCCTCTTGAATCACTCTATCTAGTAAAAAAAACCGCACCGTCCAGCCGTTGCAGAGATTAGCCGGAACAAACAGACAGACAGACAAAAAATGTAAAATATGTTATTTTGGTATATTTGGTGTACACATCCATATGCATTTAGTAAAAAGCGGTTATTTTAATATTATAAACAGACACTCCAATTTTATTTATCAGTACCTATAGATTACTACTTTTTCTATAACAATTGATATTATATTATTATTGCTTACATAAAAACAAAAGCTTTATTCTGTTGAAAATAATACACAAACTATAATTCAATTACTGACTTCATATTTTACACTACAGATTACAGATATTATATTGTTAATGCGTCTGGCTGGAGGGAAGCTATGAAAAAGTCTCATTTGGGAGTTTTTCGAGGCAAAAAAAAATAAATAGGCAGCAAATAAGCAGAATAATACGGGGATGAGAAAGACGGATACTTCTCGAGATTTTTTTTAAACATAAGCTAAAGTGACAAACACTTTCCATCCTCTTTCTTATTGTTATAATAACACTATCCTTTTTATCTTGTATCTTGTATTAACTGATGTTTTTGCTTTCAGTCCCGAGACTATTAAAGCTTCATCTGACGCAGAACCGGTGGGCTAGCCAGAACCCACGGGTTTGGGCCCTCCGCTGTGGGTAGGGCCACGCATGTGCTCATGCGTACGTTTAACTATGGTACGTCATCTAAGGGCCATCGAGGTCGTGGTTCGGACGGAAACCCCGATGGCCGTCGACTGTGCAATTAGCTAATCGGTGGCTGGGGGTGGTGAGAACCGCCCCGGAACCGGGTGTACCTTGTGTACGCGTTGTGTTGGTCTCGCCGTGCTCGGAGGCGAGGGCGAACTAGTGTGTTTGTTGTTGCACTAACTGTGGGTGTAGTGTTGTCCGGCGGGACCCCCGGCAGTGGGTCCGGCGTGTCTAAGTCCCCTTCCTCGACCGGGTCGATGAGGACGTTTCGCGGGCGACGCTTGTGGACGTTCGCGTTTTGGTCGGGTTGGTAATTTGCTGCGCTTACCACCAGAGGGTTGGGATGATGTTCGGCTCTATCGAAGAACCGTTTGGTCAGGTCTTTAAAATATTGGCGAATCGTCGGGAGTCTGCAATCGCTGTGCAGGTCGACGTTGCGTTGATACCACTGCGCACCGGTTGCGCGGCGGATGAACTTATTTTGTACTATTTGCAACTTGTACAAGCGAGTGGGGTGCGTGTGGGTGAAGTTCATGCATGCGTAAGACATAATAGGTCGTACGCAGGTCTTATATAATAATAATTTGTGTCTTAAGGGTATTTTACTTTTAGGCCTTTTTATACCATTCGACTCTATTTGGAAAGTTCTCCCCGTGAGTAACATAGAAATAATCAGCCTACCAAATAGAAAGTAGAGAAAGAAGTTTTACAAGAAGGCGATAATAATCTATAAACCTGCCTCTTCTCACACTACAAGGTAGAATGGTAGTCGGCCAATATTAACATACAAACCAAACTTGTACAACTTTTGAAAGAAACAAATGGGTTGGCGGACTTCATAATTCGAAATATTTTATTTTTTTGTTATTATTTTGAAAATATGCAGGTTTCCTCATGATGGTGCCGGCGCCAGGGATTGAACTCACTCAGGTCCTCCAGTGTATTGACTTAAAAGCGAGCGCTTCCCTGACAATGAAATATCACGGCTCACAATGATCATCAAGGAAAATAATAACTCTTGTTATTACTCGCTGCGTGGTTTCCAAAGGCATAATATCGTTATAAATAATAGAAATTAATGCTAAACTAATTTGCCATTAATTGATTACAGTGAGATACATTTATTATGTTAGATAAATTTATTTTAGTTCAAAGTCAAAGTTATCTTTATGTTAAAAAACATTTACAATAAATATATGTATTTCGAGCATTTATCTACTTACAACTTACAGTTAACAACTTTTATTTCAAACATTAAACTTAAGCACAGACTAAGTAAGTAGAGAATAGAGATGCTTAAATTGAGCTATGCAACAATGAACCGATCCAACTGCCAGTGGTGCCCTCGGATGTAAACTTAATAAAAATAGACGAATGTCATTGCAAATTAGTTCTCTTTTCTCACAGCTTACAATACATTTTTACAGCCTATCCGATTTTTTATTGAATCAGTTACAAGTCGTAATAATAAATATCTTATTATATCAATTTATATCAACATTGGTATATCAGTTTAATATATTATTTTAATTTTAATCAAATCAATACTTTTTTATAGATTGACTAGTATTATAAACAGTATTTACAAATTCACAATGCCGATCGCCATTACTATGAATGCATACAGTAGTATTAACGGTGCAACAGTGTGTGACCAAGTGTGTTTAGAATGTCTAGTTTCTATTCATAATACTATACCCTTTACTTATTCATAAAAAGAACGTATTATTCTTTCAATTTTGGCGGGAGAGCTGGCACATTGTATCGTTAATGTTTAATAGTGTTCTGTCAGCTGTCGTCCCCTGGCCTCGACGCCGTTTAGAGCTTCAACGCTTGTTAGCAAAAAAATTACCAGTGCAATAGTAAAATTTGTGGTCCATTTAGTGTTCAATGTGGACATTTGATCATGTGTCGTGGGTAGGCTCATCGGATATGGATAACAGACGTGCATCCCCTAGCTACGAGGCAGGTTTTGACGCGTGCGATCCTCTTGGGTCAGTGTTGGAGTGGTCAGGTCGGGGGCCGGCCCGCGTGCTTCGGCGACGCTGCCGAAGTGAAAGTATAGATAGGTCACCTTATGAGGATGTGACACGCGAGTTGAACCGGTCAGCGGATTATCACTCACGTCAACAACGCACCTTCCCAAATAAAAGCTACTTTACCCTTAACGGCGGACAAGACGCGCGATACGATCGTTTCCATTACGAGTGCTCCTTTGCGGCCGCCGAAAACGGTGATTACGCTATGTCGCATGATCAGCAAAGGTATCATGGGTAAGTCAACAAGGCCGCTACTAACATAACCTTAATTTTTTAAGTGTCAAACAATCTGACTCACGACAACAATGCGTTTCTATTAAAATGAAAATTAAATTTTAGTTGTTTTTACTATGGCAATAGACTATACATTTATTTGTGTCAATTTTACATTACAATTGTGCAAAGTTTAGAAATCCTGTTATTTTTGTTTTAGTTATCAGGCAGCCAGGTCAAAATTACTTCGATCAAGTCCTACTAGACCACTTATAGTCACCCCTTTGTCAAATTCAAAAGTAGATGACAGCCGTTTACCAAAAGTTGAAGAATTGTTAGAAAGAGTAGACCATGAGATGATGGAAGTGCCAATTACAAAGCAACCATTAAAGTCTATACTTAATAATCCTTTATCAAAGTCCCCACCTCATGGTATTCTAAAAAAACCCAAAAGCCGACACTACCAGGATACAAAGTCGAACATTGAGGGAAGAAGAAGGCAGAGGGCATCAAGTGAATCAGATAATTTATATTGTAGCTTTCACATAGGATCTCCTATACCTGGCTATGAGAAGTGAGTTTCTATACTTTTTTATATTATTATAATAATTTTTTAATCTTATTTGTTTCTTAGTCATGTAAGGCCTTACTGTTAATTGGCACATTTTCCATACTGACAATTTTTAAATTTTTTTATTTGTCATATGTAAATTGCCTCTCAATGTTTTCTCTCATTAATGAAATAAGTTTACATCAATTATTTAAATTTATTGCTTCCAAACATCAGTTTATAGTCCAGTAATTGATGAATATTTATCATCAATTACCAGACATTAGCATATTGTAGGCTTTTGTTTTGTAAATTTTCATTATCATTTATGCCCACAAGTCAAGCAATTACTTGCATTATTGTTGTGCTTTATTTAACTCTTCTACTGATACTTTTTTTTGTGAAATTTATCAATTTCACAAAAAAATATCAGCTACCTACATAAAAATTATGAATTTTATAAATATGATAATTTGATTGGTTATATTAAGAATAATTATTGCAATTTCTTTCCAGTCGTCTCACCTACCTCTCTAATAATATGAAGCGAGCAAAAGACAATTCTGGAACTGGATACTCTTATGGGACGGCAGTTGCAGCATTAACTACAGGATTACGAACAAAAAGCCCTCCGCCATACCCAAGAAGCCTTTATTGCTCCTGTAAAGATCAAGTTGTAGCACCCAAAGATGATATCTATGGCATGCATATTCTGAGGACTACAGCCATTAATAATGAGACAGTGGATCACATGCCTAGAGTTGAAATGGTGAGTTGGAATACATAAATAGAAGATGGTTCATTTATTGTTGCGGTTGTAACGACACGCTGTATAACTTGCAAGGTCTAGTCCATTTTGCTTAACAACTCTACATTCAATCCTATTTCTTTTTATTTTTAAGCAATGTGTAATGGACCATAGAGTTTGTGTTTAATGTTTTATAGACAAAGAAGGTGATTAGCTCATAATAGATAAAAAAGGACTCTAAATTACTCCTGCGGCTTAAATCCATCCAATATATATTATGCACAAACAGATTCAAATATTAATAATTTTTATTCGAAACTTGTTTCCTTTAAGCTATGCTACATCATGTTCAATTGTTAATATTAAAAATGTAAATTAATTATTGTATGAATGCTATTATTAATTTTTGTAAGTTCATATCAATTTTCTTCCTAGCTTTAGCTGCTCTGTATTCGATTAAATTGTCATTTCTAAAGTATTGTCAATATTATAAGGTTGCACTTAGGAGGTGTGGATGAAAAACTTGGAGGTTATTGGAGCATGTGTTGTCTGATGCATGTACCTCATATCTGTGATGTTTTGAACATGATCTCTTCCTTTTACTCCATATATTCCTTATCATATCCACAAAAACTTCCGATTGCCTCCCATTTGTTATCAAACCGTATAATCGTACTCTACTTCTGTTTAATCAAAGTGCACTCGCACATTTTACTACGCTAGAGATTCAATTAAACACGCGCGATTTTGAATCTTATCTTAATCTACCGAAATGCCACAATTGCGTTGATGAGCCGTTCACTATAAGTAGCGCCTCAAACGTTTTCGCTCAAAGCAAATTGTTTGCATAATCGTGTAGGTGTAGCCGCATCTCGCGGAAGGTTTTTCCGAACTATTTTCGATCTTTTGTAAGTGGTGCCGTGACGACAGGTGTGTAATATCGCTGGCCGGTAGAAAGGTCGCAAGGGCCGTCTTGGTATTCGTGGATAAATGTGTTCCAACCGTACCACGTGCCTCCTCTCTCCTCATGAAATCTCTGCTGAGGGTACTTCGCAAGTTCTGTCACTGTGTAAGTTTCGTTTAGCATTTAGAAATCTTCAAAAGTTTTATTTTTAGCCGCAACGCGAATCGTTTATGTGTAAGTGGTTCATTGTTCTAGTTGTAGATATCCATTTATTGTGATTAGTTATTCTCGCGTCAACACGTGCCTTTTCACTGGTTACATCTTGTTAAATCTTGTCTTATTGTGTGTATGATTTGGTTAATTTGGGTTGTGTGTACACCTGGTGCGGATTTTCTTCACCTCTGTGTGTCAAAGACGTATTGAAATTTGTTAGTAGAAATATTTCGAATTGCTTGTATTTATTTATTAATTCGTTTTTAATTATGGCAACTGTCAAAAATGGCCCCAGTAGGACCAAACGTCGGACCATACGTAAGGTTCTTTTTTATGATTCCTTTTAAAATATTACTAACAAAACTATCACTGACTCCTGGATCACTGAAACATATACAATACTGCTCATTATATTCAATTTTATTAAGTCTTGCTTACAGTATGTCTATGCCATTGAGGATCTATTGTTTCAACACAACATATTTATTTTACTACTTCGCGCGTCAGATGCCATAGGCGCACCTTTTTTGTTTCAAATTGTTTAGTAATAACAATTAACTTACCAATAAAGTGTTTTTACTGCCGACTGTTAACTATTCAATCGTGACAATTAATATAAAGTCATAATCAGATATATTTTCTTTTACAATATTTATTGCTTTTTCTTATTAATTTATATTTCTCTTACATTGTTATTCCGTTGATGGGGAAGTTGAACCGTAACTAAGTCTCTAGCTTTTCCTTCGTCTTATTTCTAAGGCATTGTAATGCTTCTGTCTATTTATATACTACGTAAAATACATCTACATACATAAGTAAATCACAGCGAATGCTGTTACATTTTCTACATAATCTATGTACAGCCGCACTCAAAAGTCGACACCATAAATACTAATAAAATCGTTTATCTCGAAAGTGGAGTCTTGTATATAGCAGATCATTAACGCTGCTGACCTTTGAAATTAAATGGTTTAAATTTAAGTACGGCCATTGAGGCCATAAGCGTTCTTACAGATTTTAGTAGCGATATTTCATCACTGTGGCATTTTATTCATTCTATGCAGTTTTATACATAATTCGCAACCCTCGATAGACGTTCACTGCTATTTAGTTTCCCGCGCATTTCCGCGATCCGTTATTTTTAAAAAGCTTGGGGGCGCTGCGCGCCCGTTGCATGCGGACCCTAATACGTAACATTGCTTCATCAATTCAGGCATGGCATTAAGCCAAACACGCGAAATGTCAATACGATGCATTAATGCCGGTACTACGGTGCGGATACGTCCGTATGGCTGCGCGGACATCACTAGTCTTTTTTTTTTAAATAAAAGTGCTAATGGCTTTTACTGACGAGTCTAGTTTCATATAATGTTTTTTTTTTTAATTTAAAGTGCAAGTGTCCATTTCGGCGAGATGTTGTGTCATAAGTTGTGATAATTGCGTAGCGATTGAAGTGTTCTACTCTTTTATAACACACAGTTAATCAATTATTCCGATTATTGTGTTCACTTCTCTAATAGCCATTCTAAAAATCCAAATTTTTAATTATTTTAAGAACAGACTGAGAGGAATTCCGTGAAAAAAAAACAGGTATTTTATTGAAAAGTTGATGGTATTAGTTTTAATAATTAGGTGTGATTGATATTATATTTAATTGAAATATATATTTAATTGATATCAAATGATATTTAATTGAAATGCTTTTAACATCTACAAAACTTGCATTGTTTGTAAATTTTCTGTCTTTATTATCCAATAGGGTTAATTTATTAGGGAATTTTAATATGTATAATTCTTAAAATGATTGAATTTTATAAATCTTTAATTGATCAGTTGTCTATTAAACGTTCTCAAGATGTTTGACATATTCATAAACTTTAACAACAAAAAGCAGCATTTCGATCAACAGTCGAAATAAAAAAATACATAAAATTGAAAAGAAAACTATGAATTGAAAGAAGAGGTATGAGGTTTCAAAAAAAGGTAAAAAAATAACATGTTATTACATAAGGTTACAAATAAAACAGTTATGAATAACGAAAAGATACGAAATAAAAGCAATAAAAATAACATCCGTTTAGATGCTTTGATGCAAAAAGAAAAACTTAACTTACAGGTTTCCTTGACACATTTCTCGGGAACGTTACATCTGTGGACAACTCAAGGTTTTTTTTTATATCGGTCTAACAATTGATGTTATACCTGCATAAACTTCCGCAATCTTTTTATTCCAATTCTGGTTTTCATCGTCGTTATTTGTTACTTAATCCTATATATATATTTTTTTTTAACCGACTGCAAAAGGAGGAGGTTCTCAATTCGAATGTATTTTTTTTATGTTTGTTAGCTCAGAACTTTTGACTGAGTGAATCTGATGATTTTGATGATTTAATTTGATAGCTGGTGCTTCAAATGGGTATTGGATCTTGGACTCCGGAGATACTTAGGGAAACTCCTGAAAATCAATTATAAAATGGATACAGAACGAGATATTTAAAGTCTGTTTTGTTTTTTGTTAGTAAAAAAATGGTTATTATCGTATATACTTGCTAACTACAACGTGTTATACGGAAAATTGTATAAGTTGACGAGTCGAATTACAAAGTTGCAGACAGCCAATGAAGCGTAAACGGACAAGATTAGCGGTTTTTTCCGTTAACAGTTTCCGTTGAAAATGTCCGGTTTTTTTTTTCCGTTTACATTTTCCGTTTTATAATTAACACTTTATGTGCTTGTGTTCGACTGACGTTCGCAATTAGAGGTGCGTCGCGGAATAGCTCTTTTTGAATTCCTCGCACTTTGTTCTATTCCTGTCCGCTCTAATTTCGGATGAATCTTGATTTTGTAGATGTTTGTACCTCGTCGTTAAGTTGTGACTTCCAGTTTTATTGCAATCTTTAATCTTATTTGACATACCTATCCTCCATGTATCGTAATTACACATGACCGTCACTGTAGTTCTATAGTTCTTACCTTACTTGGTCCTTAACGAAGAAGATGCATGACTTTTTTTGGACTGTAATTACTTAATGATTTCTTGGGTTTACGTGTTTACCAGACGTAGAAGGCTTATTAATCGGACTTTATGCCCTTATTATTTTTTCAAGCCTCATTGAAATTTTTAACAGCGTATTTTAATTGGTCACGAGCACAGTCTGTAGTATTCGCAACAACAACGGAAGTATATATTTTAAAAGTACAAATTGTAGAATAGTTTATCTATCTATTCTACAATTTGTACTCAGTCTTGTTTATATTTATGATCTCTTTACTTTAAATCTTGTGTTATTTGATGCATGTGGTAGTTATTATTGTGGCAGGGCTGATATTTTTTTTTACCTCGGTACTCGGTCATTCATGAACCGATTCTAAAATGTGTTAGAAAAAAAATGTTGTTATAGTAATTTCATTGTAATTGAAGTCCAGAAATAGTTAGACTTAGATTTTGAAGTCGATTTTGTTATTTTTGAATAAAAATATACCTGTAGTGGCGTGTGCGTAGATTTTATCTCGAACCGAAGTCTGCCGTCGCGTGAAAAGTAAACTCGTTCTGGCTTATCTTAATTAGAAGTTTATTGCCGAATTGATGAACGGAATAGTAAATAAAGTTATTAGCTCGCACTTTATAAGGATCAATGCTATATTTTATACAAAGTATAGAGTTGAGAAAATTCCGGGGACTCTTCGTCTTCTATCTGATTACTTCATTGTTCATCAATCATCCCACATCATCAGTGAAGGTCGTGGTAAATTTTTATTATTAAAAATTAACGTAGAAAATGATTGGACGAATAAATTAAGCATGTAAGGTCTAGGTCTAGTTGATTTATTTTAAAACTTTACAATAAATCAACTAGACCTAGTCGAAATTTAGATTTTGTTAACGGTAAATTTATAGGTAAGTTTATAAGATGAATTAAATACAAGTAATCAGAAAGTGGCTGTTGTTTTATAGTTGAGACATGTTTTCATATTATGTCTCTAATTGACACTATATTACTAGCTTACCTATTTTAAATAATAACGAATATGAAATTCAGTATATTTCGCTACGTTTTATTTGTTGGTTATAAATCGATGGTTCTACCGTATATTCTTTAGAAACTAAAGGTTTTTTTTAGCGAAAACACGCTTTATTTCTATTTGTCGTCTATAGCGGCAAATATAAGCCCTATAATTAATATAGAAGTTTGGCGTTCCGACAAGAAACGCCTTTGAGTAATAATATTTAGAGAAAATATAATCGTGTGTACATTTACTTTAAATTATTTAATCTGAAATATTGCATATTAATAATCCCGTCTCATAACAAGTATCATTTTTAACAAAAAAAACCGATTGAACCTATTCAATGATGGCCCTCGATTTCTCTGGGATGCCGTCATAAGGTCCGGGTTTCCTTATCATGGTACCACCCTTGGGATATCTCATACGACAAAAAAAGAATCATCAAAATAGGTTCATAAATGACGAAGTTGTCCGCGAACACATATAAAAAAAAATATATACGGTCGAATTGAGAAACCTCCTCCTTTTTTGAAGTCGGTTAAAATGTCGACAAAAATAACTAAATACGCCGTATCTGTCGCTATTCCGTTATAGATTTCACCTAAACGATGAGAAGAATCTCTGCCGGGCCGCCTGATTACCGACCGAGCTATTATAACTTTTTTTTCGGCGAAATTTACCGTCATATTCGAATGATATTTTTCATACTCAAGAATTGCTCGTTTAGTGGATGCAAGTGGCTCATAACAATGCTACGTGGTGGTCTATGCAGGGAAGCCTATGTCCAGCTGTGGACTTTACAAAATGAAATTATGATAAAAAATTTATATCATAAATAAAAAAACTTTCAAAGGTTGGCAGGTATAAGAAATTATACAACCTGCAAGTATTCACGATCGTCTTTCTTGCTTTTAAAGCACATTGCGATCAGTTTAATATTATCTCCAAGTTTCAAAGTCGAATCTTTTTGAATTTAATAATGCTTTTGCTTTTTGATTAAATTTAGCCGCACTCTAGTAACATTCCTTTGTTCCCTTTACACTGTCACCAAAATTCGCCCCGATTTTGAATCGAACCGAGAGCATCGTGAGTTACGTCCCAATAGTAATTAATGACGCATCGAAACGCGGTCGCTCAATTAGCCCACCACTTGTGAATCAGTCTATCCAAAAATAACAAACTTAGCGCCTGACATCTTGGTCTAGAAAATTACTAACCGTGGCAATTAAGATATATTGAGTTCCATACGTTACGTTACGTGTTTTAGCGAACGCGATGTAAACGATCCGACTAAAGGATTTATCCGGGGTGCGGTGGTGCGTCATTCGTGGTTTTGTGTCATGAGTTGCCTAATGCGTCAATATCGTGCAACAGTGAATAAATGTAGCCGTAAATGGTTGACGATCTATTTCGGTAAAAGAGTAGTTATTTGCGTCTTAATTAATTTAGTTTGAAAAAAAAAATTGTATGTCACAAACAAATTTTTTTCCCACTTTTCCAATATGTGATAGATAGTAATTTCTATTTCTTTTTATGTGGGGCAAGTGGCAAACGAGCTGGCGATTCACCTGATGTTAAATGATAACCGCCGCCCATGGACATTTACAACACACTTAGAAGAGAACAGACGAAACGCAGAAGTATAACACTTCCACTTCACGCCGGTCTTATGAGATCGCGGTACTTCCCCGGACTGACCCTTTCTAAAATCATTGAATAGGTTTCAATCGAGTGGTGCTTTCACTATGGTGGAAATAATAAATAAGTTTCCTTATTTACCTTCTTGTTTAATAGTAATTTTAACAGTTGTAGGGCCACGCAGCAGTGTTCACTGTTGCACGAATGGGCAGGTACGGACCGGGGAAGTACCACGACCTCACATAAGACCGGCATAAAGTAGAAGTGTTACACCTCTGCGTTTCGTCTGTTGAATGAGGTAGCCGGGGCCCACTCTATTAAAATGTGGCAACGAATCTGCAACTCTACGTGTGTTGTCAATGTCCATGGGCGGGGCGGTTATCACTTAACATCGCCAGCTCGTTTACCACTATAATGCAAAAAAAAAGCTAGATTTTCGACCCTGAGTCACCCCCGTCGACGCACATTTGAACAGGTCGTAGCTATCTAGTAGTCGTTCTACACTGCCGTGTCCAATACGAGGATGCCACTCGTGAACCTTCCCCCTCAGTTCTATCAGTTATATAGCCCATTGCCGCTTCGGCTTACCGTCTTCTGAGCTACATCGGTTACCTTTAATCTATTGCGGGTATCAGCATTGCACAATCTTATCACACAGAGAAATACCGAACATAGCTCATTGAACGACTTTAAGCTACCTCATACGGCTAGCAGTAAAGGATCAATCACACTCACCACGAGCAACACAATGATTGAACTTGGAAGATTTTAGTCGTCAATCCTGACAATATTACCTTGGGCTAGAATAAAAGCATAGGGTTCTATTTATGTTTGTATACATTTCGCTTAAACGTATTTTTTTTCGTAGTCTTAAAACTATCAGTGATATTAAAAGATAGGTTAATAAATATTACCATTTTTAGTTATTCCTGTTCCTCTTGAATACCTGTACAAGTACGGATAACCGTGCGAATGTAATGTTTAAAAAATATGCTTTGATTTATTTCTAGTTATGAACCGGGTTCTTTAATGTAGGAGGATCATTTTGTTTTTAGACGATCACAATATGCAGACGTGTAATAGTCGTAGAGAGATTTCACGATGCCATTTAGATTATCTCATACGTATCTACGTGGTGTTAACACGTAAAAGCTATTTTTGCTCAATCCTGGAATTGTTAACCTTCGCGATATATTTGTCATCGCCTTTGTTTGCATTTCGTTCAGTGCTTGGCATTGGCATGAAATGGGAGCATTTCTAAACATGCTTTCACAAATTTTTAAAAATACCTCTCATTCGGCTGGAATTGATGGAATATTTTTATTTAAAATAATAAATTAATAAAAAGTAAATTAAAAAGTAATGATATTCACTTAAGAAATTAAACGAATGCCTTATTTAAAATGAAAGTATTTTTATGTAGGATTGCTTGTGTTAATTAAATGATATTTACATAAGATATCATAATCGTATCTTTAAATCGCATCTTTTAATTAGAAAACGACTCGCACAGAAAGTTTCAATTGTAATGTGTGCACGAATATTAAATAAGGACCGACGTCGATATAAATATTTCGCCAAGGGCTGGCCGCGTGCTCGGTGGGAAACGTGACGAGGAAAAAAAGTTTAAAAAAAAGTATTTTTAGTCCTTCAGTACGCAATGGAGTCGCGTTGCGGGCTTTGCGGAGAATGATCCTTTTTTTCGTGAAAATTTGTCAAGCGAGCACGTGGTCCACCTGACATTAGATGGATTCCGCCGCCCATTGACTGACGTCTACAACACCTGTGGGGCTTGCCGATGCGATAACTTCTAAAAAGTGGGCCCCGGCTACCTCACTCACCAGACGAAACGCGAAAGTGTTACAGCTTCCACTTTACGCTGGTCTTCTGCCCGAGCCCGCCCTATTTCTACAGCGGGAACTGTGTGGCCTACCATATAGAAGCTGTTCTGTACAGCCTACGCCGTACACGTATTTTATAAGGGACCCACGCCAAGTTGAGGATGGCCTTATTCCAGTCACGTCAAGAGACACCGACGCCCACTTGCCCGGCGGTGAGCCCCTCGCTGCCAGTCAGCTCTGTGACGGCGATTCCCGTCGCCAGCAAGCCGGCGAAGTCGCTCAAGAAGAAGGTCAAGCCCAGGGCGAAGGTAGCGAAGATGAAGTCCACGACAAAGGTCGACAGCGTAGCGGGGGATGACGCGGAGCCGTGAGTTACGATTGCTTACTTTGTATCCTCGTCGTATTGGCTTAGTTTGGTGGGTTCACTTTCTTGTTTCAATGTTCGTTCTGCAGACAGATTTGATTACTGGAAATAGAATTTTTGACGTGAGTATTACGCAGCTAATGTCAAATACCTATCGCTAGTAACCAAATCTATCTGTAGATAAAATGTTGAAAATTAGTGGCCTGTTTTTAGGGCGCATTTTAAGCCAGCTTTAAATGATTTCAGAACCCCACTACAAGGGTTCAATGTGTGGGTTTTTTATTTAGATAAATATCGAAATTAAAATGATTCATTTAGTCTTTAAGAGTTAGGTTAACACTTAATATTTGATAATTGAATATACATATATCTTGTTTGATATAAAATCGAATGAGAATGAGGAATAGATTGTCCACGGCCACAACATGATGATTTCGTGGTTGATTTTACCTTGCGTAAGGTCTATATAAAATCACCGGCGCTCCCTTTGTCAGCCATAGTAAGATAAAGTTGAACCCCCCGCCCCACCAAACTTCGGTTTTTGATAACATTAAGACTAAAAGCCTTAGACTTAACCGGTTTACATTAAACGTCGCTAATGCGATGATCCCGTTTCTTGTATATACGCGCCGCGCTACTTAATCGATCTCTAATTGGGATCACATAACAAATATCGCATAACGGGTGGGAACTTTCCGTGCGTCGCGACATTAGCAGAGTTGGAACGTCGCGTGGCGAAAGGCAATAAATCGGGAGCATTAGAGCGCCGGTAAAAATAAATTAACTCTCATTTAATCAGTGCCAGCCTAGGAACGGATTGTCTGTTCCGTATCGTTCGCTTTGAACGTTTTAAAGCGCCGCATTAACATAATACTCTATATTGACGTTTTTATAATTCACCTCGTAACTGATCGTATCATTCTTTTGTTGCCTTTTTGGTTTTTGTTAGATTTCTTCCGATTTATTTATGCTAATTTCTATCGGTATTGTGTTAGTTTAATTATAACTATTATAACTAGTCTATATATGTTCATTCTCACACTAAGTTTAAACTCAGTGGGGTTTTATAGGAGTAGTCGAGGTTCGAAGGAAGGGTGAAGAATTCATCAAGTTGTCTTCTGGAAACTTATTCTGCTTTCGCGGCAATGATGACTCTTACGACAACACTGGTTTCCTAATTAATAAACTTACAACTCAGGCAATTGTAGACACTACTAGTATTTCCACACTTGATTTTTTATTTATAATCAGGCTGCACTATCACTTGGATGAGCTTTACGAGGGCCTTACAGCTGTCATCAAGGACTATAAAATCCATTGTATCACTACATTTTGAGACTTGCAAGGCCAAAATTGGCTCTCAGCTAAACAGAGAAAAACCGGCCAAATGCGAGTCGGTCTCGCGCACGAAGAGTTCCGTACCGAGACTGGTGAGAGGCAGACAGACAGACAGACAGACAGCGGAGTCCCGTTTTAACCTTAAGATACGGAGCCCCGAAAATGTGTTCGCGAATATATTTTCGGAAACCGAAATCAAAGGGGCCATTCATTGGTAAATTTGTAGAGACCGACCGTCTCATACGCCATGAACACGTTCTTTGAAAAACTACCATACAGGAAATGGTCTTGGCCTAACAATGATTGTGTTATTAAAAACTAGAAGATAGCATATTAATGGTCTTTCCCGTGACCATGAACGCTGGAAAGCGTTCGAAACGTCGGGAATTTCAAAACAAAATAAAAACGCGATAAATTCCGTGAACTAGTTTCATTTAATATGTACAATGTTCGCGTAAAATCTAGAAGCTAGCACTTTAAATTTCCTTCTATTTTTCAGCGCCAGCAGCCGCTCACCGTCCCCTGTCGTTTTGGTGGAACCCGAATGGTCGATGGACACGGACACAGTCGCCCCCGAAATGCAAAAGCTCGAGAAGCCTCCAACGGCCCCCGTCACTAGGACAGAGGAGGTGACGGAACAGAACTCCGTCGCCAAACTGTCCAACAGGCTAAACGGGACCGTCGTGTCGCCCAAGAAGAGAGGTGATCCACGATTTATCCAAATATCTCACATATATATGAAATATTAATATTTTGCACGGAAGTAAACATTCAAACAACTACACAGATATTTTAAAAATACAAAAATATCTTAATGATGCCATATTAATTTCACTTGAAGATTTATCTACTAGAATAATGAAACTAATTTATCGTCTTAATTTTTTGTTATTATTTTAATGAATTTTGTCAAACATTATTTATAATTACAATCTATTTATAATTAAATTTGGTAGTGATTAACGGCGATATTTGACAATGGACGTGCATCAGCCTTTATTGTATGAATGGGCAGATTCGTCCAGGGCGTACCTACCGCAACCTCACAAACGATTGACGTGAATTGGTAGAGTTTTTCTTGTGCGTTTCGTCTAGTTAGTGAGGTAACCAGGGCCAACTTTATAGCAAGGTAGTGTAACGCATCTGCCGATGCCTCCATGGGCAGCGGTTTTCACTTAACATCGGCTTGTTTGCAACCAACTTCTCACATAAAAAACAACCTGCAGAGGAATTGTTCAAACGGATCTGTTATTGAATTTGTATAAGACCTCTCTTCATACGGGAATCGAAACCGGGAGTCCAAAATAGTTTGAAAGATATGTTTATGGTCATCCAAAATATCAAATTGGTATCATAGATATTGGTTCGTCTGTAAAATTGCATATATATTTCTTCACAGAAAGAAATAACACGGAACACCAGCAGTTCTTGACTGCATTACACACTATAAATCCGTTTAAGACCCTGCCGTCATGCAAAGGTCCAGATTTTTTGAAAAAAAAAATACTTTCTCCCTTTTGAGTAGCTCACTCTAGCTACATTAGCTTTAATGTTGTATTTTTTTACTGTACTTAATTTCATCCTGTAATAATCTTATTTACTTTGATGCCAGTTTTTTTTTAATAATTATTATTGTAGCAGTTACCATATTGTGTAATAAGCTTGTCTTTTATCTATATTATTAAGCCTGAAAGTATTTTTATATGTGTGATGTGGCATTGGAGTTTCATAATGTTGTATTCAAGTAAATCATACATAAAGTATAACTATATATTGTAGACATTTTTTAGCTTTAAATTACTTACTATATTTAGCTACTTTGTAATTATCACTTTTTTATATGTTTAGTGCCATATTTATTTACTTACACCTATTATCTTTGTTGTCGTAAAAGTTTTGCATGTTTTCAATAAAAAAAACAACAATACCTAAGCAAAATGGAAATAATAACGAACTTGTGATATGGTTATTATTATCAATATAAAAAAAAATATGTTAATAGGTTCTATCAGCGTATAGATCCAGACATAATATTGCATTTTGTTATTTTGTTCATAAAATTTTTTCTCACATTATATTTTTTGCTTTCAATTCCTAGTTATGGAATATTATCTCTATCATATTATTATGTGTATGTGCCCTTTATATCATATCGTATGCATATGCCTATTCACGAAATTATTTTTTTCCTCACATGAATTTTCGTCGTTGATGTTAGCTTCCAATTCTTAAATTTGTATATTCCATCAAACATGTGTATATTACCCTATTTGTGTACCCTTTATATCATTGCATATCCATGATAATATAAAACAGCTTCCTTTTTAAAAATTTCAGATTCCCTGGTGGCATTGCCGGACTCGATATCGAACTGCCTCAGGCCGTCGCTGTTCCCCCGCGTGCCCCCGTACTTGAAGTTCGTAGGCCACGAGGAGACTACGCCCCTGAAAATACCGGCGCCCATACAGAAGCACCTCAAGTGGAAGCTCACCACGATAACGCCCATCGTGGTGAAGAAGACCCTCACCAACTCCGGGTTCAGGCTGGTGAAGAGCGAGTGCGACACGTCCGAGTGCCCTCAAGAAGGTGACAAACACCCCTAATGTTACGAGATTTTTATAGTGTTTGCACAAAAACACGATACGACAACATACTAATATATTTTTTTTATAAAACAACCTTACAACATTATCCTGTGTTGTAAGCTCGTTTTACAAAAATACATTTCACGCAGACAAAAACCCAGATACGAAACATCTATCTGTGGGTCACGCAAATAGTTGTCTCGTGTGGGAATCGAACTCACGACCCCTGACGCCGAAGCCAATACCTTGGCAACTGCGCCACGTAGTCGTGATATGACTGATGATATGAATAATTGATTCAGATTGGAATCTGACCCACGATCAACGGCGCCGAACTCTATCACTAAGCAAAGGCGCCAAGTGAATGATCCCATAATAATATGATTTTCTTACAACTAAGATGTGAATCTCGCACAATATTTGATCCGCAGAGACCGTCGACTGGATCGGCATATGGGGCAAGCACATGAAGTCGCTAATGTTCCGCGCGATAAAGGACGGCCAGAAGATGAACCACTTCCCGGGCACCTTCCAGATCGGCAGGAAGGACCGGCTCTGGCGAAATCTCCAAAAGTTAGTGGCGAAGTACGGCGCCAGCGAGTTCGGCATTATGCCCAGGACATACGTCCTGCCGCAGGATCTGAAGATGCTGAAACACGACTGGGAGAAACACGCGGCGAACAACGAGAGATGGATCATTAAGCCAGTGAGGACATTTTATCTTCCAAGTCTTTGATTGTGGTTGTTACGGTGTTAGGGTTACATTTGTAACCTTATAGGTGTTGCGAATGTCCATGGGCGGTGGTTTTCACTTACCATCAGGTGAAGCGCCTTCTTACAACCTTCTCACATAAAAAAATGGCGCCAAACAACCAAGCTGATAATGATAAACATCAATACCCGTGGGTTTGAAACATTGTGATGTTGTTAGCTTTATTTATTCAGGTAGTCATCTTACAGATTGTGAAATTTAAATACTCCATGTATTTGTAGACTTTTTCGATGATTAGAAAGAACATTGTATTCTATTATTGTGTATATCGCTTTTAAAAAGCTATTAAGGTCAGCAGGTTAATGATGCTGAATTTATTTTACACGCGCCCTAAGTAATTAAGATCCGTAACATAATGTTTCTATATGGATATTGTCTGAACATATTTATTGTAAAAGCAATGGAATATGTCTTAGTGGTAACATAGCAAAATTGAACGTGATGATTTCTATTTTGTATGTTTTCAAAATTTGTTATATTCATTACACTGCACAAAATATCGATTGAAGGATAGTTCATTGGGCGCAGTTGCAAAGCCATTAGTTTCGGCGCCACGGTACGTGGTGTCGATTCACACCCACTCTAGTATTTGTGTGATCATCAGATAATTGTTCTGAATCTGTACATTTAATTGTAACGTTTTGTTAAGACAATGTTTTAAAAATGTTTAAAAGAAAAAATAAACTTTTCATTTTTCATGTTTGACTGCACTGGCATATGTGTTGACATAACTATATAGCTTTAATATGTTATGTCGTAAAAGAATTATCCAGTTTATATTTAATCTTAATATAATATATGTAATAAGTCGTAGCAGTTACGGTATTGACCCAGGTCCTTTATATCTTCATTGCTTATTAAAAGTTAGAGTGGGTTTACTGTACAAGTTAATTAAGTAATGGTTGATGTTAATAAATAAATATTGAGTAGGAATATGTACAAAAGTATAAATTTTTAAACTTAAATTATAACGATTATGTGTTTTTGCATGAGGAACACAATACGATGAATATAAGTTCGAGCAAAAGAAGATTCAAAAATAAAAATGGTTCATAAACTAGATAACTATAACGATTATCATTGGCGTTTCCAGCCGGCATCGGCGCGCGGCACGGGAATCAAAGTGGTGTCCCGCTGGACGCAGATCCCAAAAAAGCGGCCGGTGGTGGTGCAGCGCTACGTCACCAAGCCCTACCTCATCAACGGGAACAAGTTCGACCTGCGCCTCTACGTGCTCGTCACCTCCGTCCACCCACTACGGATCTACCTCTACAAGGACGGTCTCGCTAGGTTCGCCTCCGGTGAGTACTCAGCTCCGTCATTTAGATGTGGTAGAACCACGCGACAGTCTTTGCTGTTGCACGAATGGGCGGGTCCGTTCGGGGAAGTACCGTGACCAAACAGAAGACTGGCGTGAAGAGGAAGTTGGGTACCCAGCCTCGACATATAGCTGTGGTAGGACGTGGTTCCTACCACTTGTGTCCTCCACGAAACAGTCTTTGGTGTTGCACGAAAGGGTATACACGTCTGGGGAAGCTGTTATACTTTTGCAACTCAAAAATAGTTCGCTAAAATTAATTGATAGTCTCCAAATGGATTTCGGTCCTCTACTTCTTGTGCACACACATGTACATTTTTTTCGTTTTTAGTTAGAAGACTACTATGGGGTTGGGTTGTATGACGTTTAATATCCTACATAACCTTGGCTACTGTTAGCTTATTTTATCTTGAGATAATGCAGTGTTGATTTGTTTGGTTTTATTTTTATAAACTATAGGAACCCAAGGTCGAAGAAACAAATTAACCATTCCGAAATCCTTAAAAACGTTTTATTTACAAAATATTCCATTAACCCAAGATATCATCAATCATTATATGTAGCAAATGTTAAAAGATGAATTTTGATTAATTGTTGAATATTTTTTCCAGTTAAATACAATGACGAACTATCGTCGTTGAATGATAGGTATATGCATTTAACAAACTACTCCATCAATAGATTGTCGAAGAATTACACGCCGAATGAGGATTTTGCGGCGTGCGAAGGTCATAAATGGTACGTTTTTATTAATAAAATCTTTTGAACGAAGGTGATTTTGACTGATTATAAACAATAGTTCATATCATGCTTCTTACTAAGTAATAGGTGCCTCATTTAAGTTGTGAAGTCTGAAATAATTCCTTTCTCTCCCTTTCATTTATCCACTTTATTGGACATCCAAAGTTATGGATTAGGTGTAAGTGATTTGACATAATAATACACAAAATCACAAAGGACACATATGCTTATTCTCAAGCCATTTCTTCCGACATACTCTTATTTTATCAATTCAATCATTAACAATTTAAAAACTATCTTTAGATACAGATTTCGAGTGCTTGATAGCTTATGGGTAAGGACTGCCAATGAGCAATTTTTATTGGCTTTTAAAATTAATTATTTTATTCAGAAAAGGATCACATAGGCACAGCTGCTGCTGAAACATATAAATTTGATTATTTTTAAAAAGGATTATTATATTCTAATATTATGGATATTACGAAAAATTCAAAACACTTTACCCAATTTCAGGACACTGCAAACTCTTTTCCACTATCTAAAGACTGAACGTGGGGTGGATACAGACTCGCTTTGGGAGTCGCTCAAGGACCTGGTCATAAAGACAATCATCTCTGGAGAGGCGAGCATCAGCTCTCTAACCAAAGCCAACATAACGTCTCGCTACAATTGCTACGAGCTGTTCGGCATAGACGTGCTGTTGGACGAGAGTCTCAAGCCGTGGCTTTTAGAAGTGAGTGGTGTTTTGAAAGTGAAATCATTGATTCATTCTACTTATATGGGCTTTGTTTTCTTCTCATTCTTAACAGGATAATAGTTTATATAAATACTTAACTAACATCTAATAAAAATTTAACTGATTATTGTCTGTGCATGGAAGATATTTGAGAAAAACTAATATTAGGGGCCTTTATCAACGCAGTAGAACCCAAAGGATTCCATAGGTACTTTTAAGCATGGTATAAAATGTAGTATATACGGGCAGAGCCGCGGGCGAAAAGCTAGTATTTAATAATTTCACTTGTGGTGTTAAACAGGTAATTTCCGTTTTCCTTGTTTTTCTATCATCTTTTCCACATCGAATATATTTTTGTAGACACGCTCATCGTGCCCGAGTACTACATTCACCAAGTTTCCAGTATTCAGCGTGTCGTTACTATCGCGACAATAAATGATCACACGTCTAACGCTACCTGCCAATAATCATAAAAAAATATTAACGTTAAACAAAATCCATAATTAAAAAAAAAACAAATTTTCAAACAAACTAATTAAGTCAAAAAGAAACAAAATTTGTAACATCTATACACCTATACAACTCGCGCCACAGCGTCGTATTACAAGCCTCTCCTTCTAACAGTATGTTTTGTCTCTTTTAAATTCATTCAACCCATTCATATGCTTTGTGACCTTTACAAATGAACTTTACGTTATGCTTTTATAGGTAAGGGTGTTCTAAAATTCTTTGTTTTGGAAAATTTAATAACTCTGTTAATATTGATGTTTAAAGAATTTAAATGTTTAATACAACTTTAAAAAGTTATCCCCTATATGTGTGTTCATTTATTGTCGCGATGGTAACGACACACTGTATATCCAATATTTTTGGCAGTTTTATGAACCACTAACTTTCGTTAGATAAATTCTTATTCATGTATACTATTTAATTCGATGTCTAGATTTGCGTAGTTACGATAAGCTATTGGTCTCAATGATGCGGATCGTGGGCTTGTTGTTGTATGCTAGTGACAGATATGTTATGTCACAGATTGCTACACATCCGACTTTGTCGGTGTGCTTTTTGTGTCCATAAATACCTTTAATAGTAATTAGTAAAGTAATCAATAAAAAATACCATTGATTATAAATAAAACTCCAACTTTATCGATATATTCCAGGTTAATATATCGCCGAGTCTGCACAGCGCGTCACCACTTGACATTCATGTGAAGGGACCGTTGGTCACCACTGTGCTCAATATTGCCCAGTTCCAAGTTCCTTCGAAGACCAATTTAGAACTACTGTCTAAGGAAAAACCCAATAAATTGGTAAGATTTTTGATTTTTTGTACTGTAGTATCACAAATGATGTTCAGTTTTGTTACTATAAATAGATAACCTTGGTGTTTACTCTCAATTTGAGGCTTGAATCTTTTCAATTAACATTTTCTTATTTATGTAATTTGATGATATGGCCAAAGGATGTTATTTTATAGAGTAAGCAGTGCGTGACATTGTTAATAATATTGAGCTGAACTCAGTAATTTAATTATGAAAGTTGATCTATAAGGAAAACTGCACGATATATATAAATGATGTTTTAGTGGAAGTAGATCTGAAAAGCCTATTTATTACCAGTTGCTTAAACATCAATTTTAATTAATAATCAATTGTTTTCAGGCTGGCTTACCTTATGATAGTAGGCTATACACAGTGTACCTGTCAAAAGAAGAAAGAGATAAACATATTATATACACAAACATAGAAGACAGAGACGTGGTAAGTCATGAGTTAATTGTGTTGGGTTAAACAATATTTATTTATACAATAATATATATTATACAAAATAAACATAAAAATATCTATACCTATGAATTAACATTCACGATAATATTATGGTTCCATTGACTTTATTTCCTCACATCTTACTAACAGGCAACAAAAAATAATTTTAATTGGAATATTGTCATCAATACTATAAATTGGTTTTCCTCAAGGATAGATCCTAGGTCCATTTCTGTTTTTAGTTTATATAAACGTTTCGCCATATGTATATGTAGATAAACCACTGGATGTTGTGTCAAGCTGATTTGTAACCCAATAATTTATTTTTGAACTCCACTAAAACTAAGTGTATCAGATTTACTCTAAGTTTTCTCACAAATCAGGAATCTGGTATTGATGAGTCATCTTCTCTCCCTTGAATTCAACAGATTTTCTTGGAATATGCATTAACTCCAAGTGCAATGGGGAGTTCATGAAGAAAATTTTCTTTACCATATGCAAGATCAGGCAGCTAACTACGAGGCAACAGCTAAATTAGTTTATTAGCTTATTTTCACAGTAATTTGTCATATGGTATTTCACTTTGGGGTTCCGCAAGCGATATTGGCTACCTATGTCTTAGGCCCACGTGAGTGAGTGATGCGGTAGTCCGCATCTTAAGTAAAAAAACCGTGATTCTTCGGTCGCTATTTATATTATAGAATCTAGAACATCATGTTAACGTACATACGAATTAATTTTAAATCGCGTCGGGACCGTGCTGAAACTCTAGGAGTAGCAAAACCAGAAAGCCGTTTCTTGGTAAATGTAATAACTTTGGGTTATTGTCCTTATCTTATTAATAAACATTTTTTGGGATGACATACTTACACTGTCAAAATTATTATGTTAATAATTAATAACAAGTTATAAGAGAAGTCTAAATCAAAAAAATTATTTAATCAAGGAATTTTGTTCATACTTCCTTACACATAACAAATACGATACGAGAAATTTCAGGGGCGAAAATTTTAGGTATTTATGCCTTACATGTAAATTGAAACTTTCCCATTTCAGTATCTCCGTGATATACTGTCTACCCTCACGCCCGACGACGTTCGCCATCTGATACAAGCGGAAGACGAGTTGACGCAGACAGGCGATATGGAGCGCGTGTTCCCAACGCATGAAACGCATAAATACTTGGGTTTCCTCGCCGGCCCAAGATACTACAACCGACTCTTCGATGCCTGGGAAGCGCGCTACTCTGCTCATAGAGAACCGGGTATGGAAAACATTATTATGCTGCTTCTTCTTCTTTCTTCTGCCTTTATCCCAGGGTTTTCAATAAATATATGTATATATTTATTGACCACCTCGTAAACAAGCAAAGGTCTTTAATTTATTTCAGACCTTAAGAACTGACTTTTCACAGGCATCGAGTTGCTGCGCAAGCTGTGTGGCATTGGGTACCACCTGGAAGCGCCAGCCGTGCCTCTGCAGGTAACTGTCGCGCGGCTACTGCTAGCTCTGCTCTCCGCACTGCTCTCCCTCTGCCTCGCCCGCCTCTGGTGACGTCACTCCTGCCAGTCTGTCGTCATTTCCCCGTCCCAACGGTTCATGCCTAGCTCCATTCGCAACTTTCGCAAAACAATCTTTCAATCAAATCTTTTTGAATACACTATACACAAAATAGATATCCTACTGTAGACTGACTGTGGTCGAAGTGCCGGTATAGTGGACTGGACCATATCAAACCCACTATTAGGAGCTTTGTTGCTTATGGCTTAGCAACTGTCCTGAGTCATTTCTCATAAAAGTGGGTTTCTAAATAAATATTACATTTTAGACGTGTCTAAAATTCTTAACTTATGTTTCACAAATTCAAAAATCTTTCAAAAAATTTTAACTAACACACTTTTTTTACACTTAAAGAACAAAAAACAAAACTTAGAGAGACTAACTTTAGAGAGATTTTTAACATGAAAGACGAAAAGTATCGCTCACCTTTTGCTTTTACTTAAGTTTTTAAAATGTTTTTTCTTTGTAAATATTTTTTTATTTATATGTATTATTTTATTACCAATTCTATTATTTTAAATTCTTATTTTATATTCTACTTATTGCCTTTGTATGTAGGTAAACTACCACTTAATGTAGGATTGTGAAGGAATTTACAAGTCAGAAAGTATTATAAATTACAGGGCAAGTCAGGACTTAGCGTGGTGAGAATTTTCTTCTTATCAAGCATGTTTTCTTACGATTTTAAATATAAAAGTGCATATACAAGCATATTTCTTATGCTCAATAAGGTTTACAATAATGTATTATATTCAATGTCACAGAAAGTGGTGTCATTACCCACATATTTTTGCTACAATTATAGCTGATATGTGTGAGTATTTACATTTGTGAAGGAAAATGTTTGTATATATAATTTATTTATTTCAAATACTTTATCATACTCTTTATATATTGTCTATGAAATAGGTATTAAATGTTTTATATATGATCTATTTAAGATTTCATGTTAATATTTATATTGTATATTGTTTTTATTTATACATTACATATTAAAATGATATTTCTTGTGGCTGATTTATCAGGGCAAAGTGACAAGTGCCCTCAGGCGGGCTTACTTTGGTTGTAAGCACATTGCTCACAGTAAGTGCGTAGAAACAAATGACCAAACTGACGAATGAGCCAGCGCCGAGTATATTAATAAAATAGTTTTTTTTATATGTACACCGCTCGGTGCCTATAGATGTATAGAGAGCCCATATATTGGCATAGTGTGGTTTTTAGACATTGTGGCGATGGAGAGGCTAGAAGATACGTTAATAACGTGTTAATTTAGTGCTAGTTCTTTTTTCAACAGATAGCTAAGCAGTTGTTACCATATTTGAATAAGTCTGTTCTTGGAATTGGTCCTTTGCAGTATGAACGAAGTAATTGCTAAGACTGCGCTCATAACTGTAGGTCTTACTTGGGAAGACAGTTCTTTTTGCAAAATTACTTAATTTTGTGGCTAGAGTTACCGATATTTTAATTTTAATAGAACAATGGTATTTGTTTATTTAGAATTAAAATTAACAATAGGCTAGTGAAACTGTTAATAATAGGCTAGCGAAACTACTATTTGTAATGTTAAACACTAAATTATTGATAGTTCATTTTTTATTTTATAGCCCAAAATATGTCCATTAAAATTGACAAATCCTTTGAAAACCTTCAACCGAACTTAGAATGTCCTTTATAGAAATCCTGGCATGTTAATGGACAGATAATGTTAATTATTGATAGTTCATTTTTTATTTTATAGCCCAAAATATGTCCATTAAAATTGACAAATCCTTTGAAAACCTTCAACCGAACTTAGAATGTCCTTTATAGAAATCCTGGCATGTTAATGGACAGATAATGTTAATTTATTTATGATAAGCATTTTTATTAATTTATGAATTGTTGACTATTTATAGAATTTATTACATAATTTAATCCAAGTGTAGTTAAACAAGTAATTAAGAACCTATCTAGCAAGTGTCCAATATCATTGTACTGACAGGCGAACATCGTAGGTTGCTATAGACAATTTCGGAAATCTATTTGTATTTTAAATAATTATGTTATTACCATATTACCTTCATATGTAGTTTATTCCGTATGTTTATGTATTTTTTCTAGTCTGCGACGTATTGGGAGCTAGAAAATGATTATGAGATAACAATTTTATTATCTGCATCCACATTGTAACAGGTAAAATGTCATAATGTATGTATGTGTTTGTGATATGTATTTGCGGCCTTTGAGATCTTTTGTATAAAATGTTAGATGTTTTGTATTGTATTTACGTTTATTACTTTATACGTTATTTTATTTAATTGCTTAAATATAGCCAAATAGAATTTCAAATGGATATTTTATGCAGGTAGTGAAATTCCTCTAGAAGTGATTTCTAATAAAGAAACAATTCTAAGGTTCATTTTAGAATATTAACATTATATGATTATATACATATTTTTATATTGTTTTATCTTAATACATTTATTGTTCTAGTCTTTACAATATCAATGTCGGAATGTTTTTTTTTAATATTACATTTTTAAGTATTTATTTTGAAAATGATGTTTGCTCAAATGTTTAGTTATATAATTTTCAATTGTAGTATGTGTAAGACATGAAATGCCCCTTAACCTTAACACATTTCATGCTTGGCATCTTCTTCATGTACTTTCACTCATTTCAAACAGCATCCGCATATTTTCTGTGTAAAATGATGGCAAGCGAGATGTCCATGTTCATTTACAACACTTGAGGGGTAACAGCGTTTCTAACCTTATATAAAGCGAACTCCGGTTACCTCACTCACCAGACGAAACCCCAATGTACGATACTTCCACTTCAGACCGGCCTTTTGTGAAGCTTTGGTACACCATGGACGAGCCTGACCACTTGTACAAAAGTAGAAGCTGCTTAATGTCCCCCCACAATGAATGTAAGAGTATAAGAAACAGTTAACGGTTTATAAGCAAAAACACAGCCCTTGTTTTTCTATCAATTTCTTTTCTGGTACTACCTTAAAAGTGAAAGTAAATTAGAAAGTGGTTTCTCCATAAAAAGTACTTGACAGTTGAAATATTTAAAATAGTATTACTTGTAATTCTTGTAATGGAATTATGTCCTCAAAGAATAGTATGAAAGTGTCACCACACACAGTATGTTTCGTTTCATATCAACCATTCACTTAATATTGACATTCACCATTTTTTCTATGCACATCCTGCTACTCCATTTTCCCAATGCTTAAGCACTGAATCTCTTAATGTCCAACAATTATGATTGTTATAATTTTATGTCCTAGCTCGTAGTCAGTTTATCTTTTATGAATCGAAAATATATTCATTTGCCATCCAATTTATTTTTCTTTTATAGAAATATGTTACTGTCGCTTTACTTAATGTCAGTTGACTATCCCATTAATTAAGAACAAAAATGTGTGATTTGCTAGATATGTTGTGCCAGTGTTGCGTTGTTAAGGAGGAAATATATCATAGGCTATGGATAAAAACTGTAAAGCATGCATAAAAGAAATTTTGAAGATACCTTATCATTAATGTTGGGTAATTTTGATGTTTTGTTAAATAGAAGTGGTGCATTTATAAATGCTTTGTATTTTCATAAAAGTGATTTAAGTTATTAAGTATTGATGACTGTAGTAAAAGTAGTAGAGGTAAATAAAATCAATTTATGGGCGATTTACTTTCTTCGGTATATTAAGAAATTCATAACCGTAAAGCGTAAAGGGATAGTCAATCTGGATTCGTAAGGCGACACGGTTGAAGGCGATTGAGTAACGGTGCCCCCCCCCCCCCCCTTCGTCCATCCCCCCCGTTCCCCGCCCTCCCCCGCCCCTCTCCGGCCTGGTGTTGTAGCGGGCGGCGCCTCAGCTGAGCGCGTTGGATCGTTGCAGAATGATGTGGACGCACCGACGCCGCCCCAGGAGGAGACAGCATCAGTACGGTCCGGCAGCGGCGCGCACCTCAGCGGCTGCGAGTGCCCGTCGCCGTGCAGGGGGACTTCGCCCCTCAGGCCCTGCGGCGCCGCCTCGCTCGCCAGCCCCATCCGCCCCGAGTTCCCCTCGAGGCCGGGACCCCCCCAGCTCGAGCCGAGGGCGTAGCCCCCGCCTCGACCTGAACAGCAACCACAAGTGCGGCCCGGGGGCGGCGGAGTCCCCGCCGCGCTGATGCCCACACACATCCCCAACGGGTCCGGAGAACTGTTTGAGTCTTTGAAGTGCGCCCCAGTGAACTACGAGAGAAATCCCGGTGTTAGTGATGACCCTACCTAGGCTTAGGCAACTGAATTTTGTATTAAACATAATCCTTCTATGAGAAATGTTTTAAGTGTTTTCAATTTAGGATATCCCACTAGAACTCGAACAGAGCTTATTGTACCGTTAAGTGTTGTAAGGACTTTAATTAAATATGATGCCTTTTTTCGATCTAACAACATTCCCTATTATGAAAATTACCCAATAGAGTCATTAAATTCTTAAAACAAAAAAAGTTTGTCCAAAATGGTAAATCTAAGATTTTAAATATATACTTATTTCATAATGCTCACCATAACTTCTTTAATGTAAAATCTACAATAAAGTTGATATTTCCAAATTACAATGTGTTCATTGTACATCTAGTGTTGCTAGAATGCTCTAGGTAAGATCGTGATGTTTTAAATAGTGTTCAAAATTAATAGAAATCATTTAGATTTGTATATAATTATGTGTCTGACTATAAAAATCTAATTTTATCTAGTATTTATAATGTTCATTCCTATAAAGTCGCATAGAGTTATGAAATACGGCAAATTTTTATCTGTATTTCGTATGTAGCGAACTGATATAATTTGAGAAAGAACAAAAAAAATGCCATATTTGGTAATATATGTTGTCAACATAAATGTGGTTATTTTTATCATCTAATTTTAGTTTTATATGAATGATAAACTGACTTCTCTTTAAATTCGTGAAGTAAAGATTATGTAAAATTAAGTGTTAAACTGAAAACTAAATGTCATATTTTACTAAGTACACAATAAAGTTCCTTTGCAAGAAAAATCCACTCACATTTTAAACGGTTATATATCAATTTAATAAAACCGGATTTTAAGTTAAGGGTTAAGCAGTGTTTATCAAATTTAGCTATAATTTTCTTTGAAAAAGTAATGAAAATTCAATTGTAACATCGCAAAGGTCGAACAAAATTGTACTAATCAAAGATTAAATAAATCTCTAATTTTGAGAAAATACATGACGCGTTTTTGAATTCGTACATATATGTGCAAGTAATCTCATTTTTAATTTAATTTTAGTCTTATTGCCAATTTTCATGTAAAGAGTTGACAAGACAATCCAAACTGACTCTAAGAACCTTTAAATAAAAAAAAATAAAATTCAAGATCTTTAATTTCTAGTCATGTCACTAAATTTATCGTAAGTTAAATGAAGAAAAAAAATAATTATTCTTATTATCTTATTAGGATATTCGAAACAAAAACTTTAAACGTAAATTTTTTTGGTTATGTTTATTCATGGCTATGTTTGTACCTTGTAAGAAAATAGCTAAAACCGCAATATTTAAAAAAAATCTGGAGATGCCGGGGATCGAACCCGGGGCCTTTCACATGCAAAGCGAACGCTCTACCACTGAGCTACATCCCCGATGTGTATTCCTTTAAAAATCGTGATTGTATTTGTATGATTATTTTATTTGATTTTACATTTTCAATGATTACTGTTTTGTATTCATAGTAAAGTTCCTGTTCAGATTATTTAAGTGACGTAGAAATGGTTTAAATAGTGTTATCTGTTCTGCTGTACTTCATAATTTGATGATACTCGGCAAATTTATTCAGCTGGTCTCCAAAGGTTAAAGGAAAATATGAGTTCATGTATACGGCCAAATACGGCCGAATTATTTTTTCATTAGCAAACTTTGTATTTGTTACTTCATACAAGTTTTTAATAGTAAGAAAACCTTTCTCCTGCCCTTATCTTGCATATGGCATCGACATGCATGCGAATAATTTTGTCATGTATTGGATAGGTTTTTAGGACGGTTGCCTGTCGGACGTCAAACCTCCATACAAGCATATAAAAATAAATATATGCTTGTATGGTTTTAACCAGCTCAGCTCTAAGTAATAATTTTGTGAAAGAAAAAATATTATGATCCTTGATTACTTCAAGTAGTTGCTTTTAAAATAGATTCTGATTCCTTTGATTAGATAATATATTCTTGTGAAAGTAATGCTCGTCAAAGGTTTTGTCATTCTTAAAAAAGAATGAGACAAAAGTCTTTTTCTATATAAAGTGTTGACAACGTTATAATGCAATAACATTATTATTTATTGTATTAATTTAAACTTTCTCTCAATGCATCCTTTTATGTAACAGAGTTGTAAGCCGAACACTATTTTCGCGATGTTCCTTTTTAAACATGGGGGTGGCACGCGGGTGTCTTTTTGTTTTTAAACGTAAAAGGATGTGTAGTGCCGCTTACGTTGTATTCTTTGACATTTTTTCAAATCAAATAGAATTCTCGTAACTGCAGCATTTCCAAAAGGTAAGTCTTCAGTCGTAACGGTAAAATTTAAAGAAGACAACGTTTAAAATGATTAATTTTGTAGGAGGGGTTTTTTATTAGTAAGAACTATGTATGCAATATCGTCTGACGTTATTTTGAATGACCTTTTTTAAAATAACGTCTAAGCTCGGTAAATAAAATCAATTGATAAAGGTAATGATATAATAAAATGGTCGGGTATCTCTATACCATTTTTTTGTTAATGAAATAAAAATAAACAGTTTTAATTTTAACGAGTTATGCCATAATTTGCCTGATTTTCCGAATTTAAATATATTTAGTACAAGCAGTTATAAGTTACATTTCGCATTAAATAATTTTAGAATCTGACACATTTACTATTCGTGTGTGTATGTATATCAGTTTTTTATGTTTACATTTCAAATGGGATTAATCCAAACGATTTAAACTGTTTTACCCCAATGATATTTTATACTACAGATATTAACACGCCAGGAGTGAAGCCACGAAAACGGGCACTTAGAAAATGGTATGTCAGTCAAATGTTTGATATGTAAGTTCAAGTTTTTCTATAATAGGATATTTATACTTAAGTATATTTGACTTTGGGGGCTTTCAAGGTGCTTTGCAAGGATGCAAGAGCACGTGCCGTTGTAGTCTACGGACTTAATCTCAACCAGAGATCGTATTGACGAGAAAATCATACTGGTCCTACGACTTGCTGAATATTACATGCGTTTCCGCAAAAAGCGTTTGAGATCCTCGACGAAGATATTGCCATTTTAAGTGTTGCTCTCATTAAAAATTCAAAGCGTTTTTCAAACTTGTTTTATTCAACGTATTACAATTTTTAATTTATATCATGCCAACACCAGTTACCGACGACTTGAGTTATTTATTCTGCAACCGTACCATCTGTTCTGCTTATCTTTGGCTGGCTCGCACGAGTTTTTATTCACATTTTGCGATTTAATAAGAGTATATTACAAATTGAATTTAATTTTGTTTTGTTCACCTTGTAACTTATTTGTAAGGACCGAGTTTGGTATTGTAGAATTATATTACCAATACTTAGGGTATATACACCAAAGTACATTTACCTATTAAATTCCTACATATTTCTCTAAGACTAAGAAATTAAGTACTGGCGTATAACAACGATATATTTATTAATGTATGAGTAAGTATATAAAAAAGTAATTTTGTTATTCTTATTATACGAAGCATATTGAAAGCATTTACATGTACTACATAACGTTTGACTAGGAATTTACGATGTAGCAAAGATAATTATAAAATCTGCATAAATATCAAATTTGGCGATTAAACTGAGTACAGTTAAACTACGAATTAAGAAGTCTGCCTGCATCAATAGCGTAATTGCAACCGGTTATACTTTTTGCTTTGTCGCCCGCCAAAAATGCAATCAGTGCAGCGATATCTTCCCCTTCTATTATTTTCTTCATTGGTGTCCTTCCAATCATATTTTTGGCCAACAAGTCCATCTGATCTTCATTCAAGCCGACATTTTTAAGTAGGTTCGTTTTTACAAAACCCGGATTAACAGAATTAACTCTGACGCCGTCAGGTGCCAACTCCAACGCTGCACACTTCGTAAAGTGATCGAGAGCAGCCTTCGATATATGGTATGCTGTGGCCGTTGTGCTAGGCATTTGGCTCGCTATACTGGAAACGTTCACTATACAACCTTTACTCTCGATTAAATGTGGTGTGGCGACCATTGTTAAATGGTATACTGCCCTCATATTCGTCGCCATCACTCTGTCATAGGTCTCCATGTTTGAATTCTTCAATCCACCCATATCAACAATACCGGCATTATTTATCAAGACGTCCAGACGTCCAAAATGATCGATAGTTTCCTTGACAATTCTTTCCACACCGGAGTCTTCGGTTAAATCAGCTACGATAGTCAATGGTTGAATGCCTGCTGCTTTTGCACAATATAATGCGATCGCTTTTAAATTATTTGCTTTTCGACCAACAAGAGCCATTTTTGCAGATTGCTTTGACAAGTAAATTGCAGTAGCGGCACCTATCCCTGAACTGGCACCAGTTATTATTACAACTTTATCTTGAAATTCCATTTCACTGTTTTTTTTTTACGTTAAACGAGTTAGTAAGTAATAAGTTTAGCTATAGCGGCACAGTACAGTTGCTTTGCTTGAAAACAAAACTATTAATCACAGTCGCTGTGTCAACAGAGAACAGACTGTACTAAACTAAACCAAATGGTGACCAATCACCAATCCTTCAAGTCAAAACAGTGTTGCCATATTTTTTATATGGTAGCATAATATAAGCAGTTTCTATTAAAAAAAAAAACAAGAGTGACAACGAAAAACTACAAGAATTAATGTAATAACGTTATGCATTATATTCCGAATTTTTCAATTTCGTGATCTTGGATGCGGGCTTTCATTATATTATTGTTAAATTTGAAGCGGACGAAAAGTCTACGAAATAAGATTTTATTAAATTTTTGTGAGTGCTTCATGATATAAAAGATACTAAAAATTGGATTTAAAACTTTAAGTAGCATTAAATACCAATTAAACTTTTTAAAATATGGTAACATGCGCTTTAATGTCATTATTGAATACGGCACGTGATTTTAATAAAATCATATACTTACCTTCCTAGGAGAGATTTAAGAAATGTCGATATATTTTATTTTATACAAAAAGTAAAATTTCAGTAAATTAATGCAACCGCCATAATTCAATAACTCATAAACACTGAGTTATGGCGGAAGCATCAATTTACTGAAATTTTCACACGAATATTTTAAAATGGAATTACGGACCAATACTGGGGGTTGAAGGATAGCACGTTCGGAAAATTCCTATACGGTAACCGGTCAGCTGAGGACGCCAAAAATTACGATACGTCAACACGGAGTTTGACATTGAAAGATGTAGGACAAATATTCGTACCTACGTATGTGCAGATGCTCAGAAGCGAGTTCGCCAGTGAATTCGTTCTACTTTTCGTTTACACGTCTTACCTGCTGATCTTGGAAAGGGAATGAACATGAAATGTGATAGACCTACCTTTCAAGTGGCTGAAGTTTCCACAAATTTATGTTTTTTACGCGCGCGATGAGTATTAATATAAATGTAAAAAAATCATATTTTACACAAAATTTTCGTGTTGTTTGAACCTCCGGATGATATTTGGAAAAATTATTATATGGTTATTTCTTAGTTATACAAAGGGTCATCCCAAAACCTTTAGTACCAGCTACCAGCGTACCGTAGGGTTTTGTGACCGAACGATATCTTCAAGTCACTGTCACCAGGAGTTCCTCTGGGTTCCAGCTTTTCTGCAATTCTCTTTTTATAGCATTCAAATAATTTTGTTTATAGGTACGCAGACGACAATTAGATTTCGTTAGAACTAATATTACTAGTCTTGAGCATAGATGCGGTGTAGTTGTCATTATCTAAACTAGCCTATACCAGTAACATGCCGCATGTTACTGGTATACGCTGGGTTTCCGTAATAATTGTCTATGGTATACACAAACACTAATCCCGTCTGGGAATGAAACACACGACCCTTGAAACCAAAACCCTAGCAACTGCGTCACTGAGATATTACTTAAAAACCGGTCAAGTACGAGTCGGACTCGCGCACGATGGGTTCCGTACCATTATCTAGTATGTTATTGTATTTGTACGAGCACCCATGAAACTCAGAGGACTATCTTAATGGGCGTCAACTATGTACGTATGGGGACACCCTTTAATTTTCAACTTTTTTATTTTTCGGAATTTTTCCTTTTATTTTGCTGTTAGAACTTGGTTTTTAACAAATATCGTGAATCTTGGTCAACGGGAACTACCATATAGGTTTTCGGCCCAAAACCCATAAGTTACTTCCGGTTGACCTAGAATTGTCAATTTTGATCATTAGTGAAGGAAAATTTAGTAAAATAAAGAAGTTTTAATGTTCAATCTTAAGTGCAGAGATTAGCACTATAAAAAACTTTAAACTTTATAAAATAAAGAAGTTTTATATTATTATGAAATTGCGAAAATCTAAATGATGTGCCCATACCTTATTATCTTGACTCAGGACCTTATTTTTTATACACCTAATAGGGATTATAGACCTCGTACGTCCCAGTTGTACCTCAACTTGCTAGGTCTACCCATTCCTGAGAAAATCGGTGGCGATACACGGACAGACAGATGGACTAGAGAGTGATCTTATAAGGGTTCCTTTTTTACCTTTTGGGTACGGAGCAGTTATGTATCAAAAAAACTGTCTAGACTGACGTGTACGTAGAATTCTTATTGTTTTACATTATACAAGGTTCTTTTTCCCAGCAGGACTGGTTTTGCATGTACCTAATATATACAGGGAACAGATTGACACCATCGACTACGCACTAACCTGCTAACAGATTACGCAGGGTATGTGATATCCCTCCTGAAAGCTTTTTCATAAAGCTAGCGGCTTATATGTGTGGCAAACTCTGCCGGCTGCCTTTGAGCCATCAAGGAAATGCGCAAAGAGTTCACCATTACTACTACTTCGCCACTTTCACTTTCTGATTTCGGTGATTTCGGCTTAACTTGTATTTGCTAACTTTGAAAGGACCGCTTTGTATGCCATGCATGCCATGCCATATGGATGCATGGCATACCTAGTATGCCATGCATCCATACATCTTCCATGATGGAGGTTATCCATGAGTAATTTGGAGGCTCGAATAGTCGAGCCTCCAAATTACTCATGGATAACCTCGCTATAGAGCTATTCAGGTATAGGCTGCATGTTAGTCAGTTTTCAGGACTTAGGTGCTACAAAACTCCTATATGAGAGGTGGAACAGATTTCTCAGTACAGGTGACTCATGTTACTAGAATTTTTTTAGTGTGATATACATATTTTGGAGACTTTAATAGGCAATAATCAGCACAAAGCACATACATATCTGTATATAGAAACAATATAATATTTGTTTTTACGAAACATTTGTCTTTTTTATTAATTTGTCTTCCAAAATACACCTGAAGTGCTATGAACACTACCCAAAAACGTACATTTCAAAATATGTATCCGTTGCTCAGCTCAGGTTTTCTTACTTTATTTACAGTTGCAATTGCAAATAGCAATTTCATAGCTGTCCGCATCGAGTTTTCAACGGTATTCGTTCGACTGTAATAAATTAATATCGGGAGCTTGGACACTCAGCCATCAAGCGCAACAAAACACCCATAAACAACTCAAAATTTATAATAACGACAATAATGTTCACGAAATAAAGCTACAACACGGAGCGAATGCACCGACGATAGTTCGAAAACACCAGTTGAATTGAAATAATAAAATGTCTCTGAAACCTGTGGAGGTCACGTTTGTTCTATAAATCATAAGGTTTCAGTTAACCATTGGCATTTGAGGCAGCGACGAGGTCGGTGTCGCGATCGCCGACACGACTCTCCGTTATACATGATGTTCCTAGAAAACTATATTAGATAATTCCATTGTATCCCCGCGGTAGCACAATGTGCAGGCGAGTTGCTTTTAAAATGCGTAAGCAATCAAAGCTAGTTCTTATTCCAGTTCTGGTATTAATAAAATGTGCAAAATATTATTCACTTTATCCTGCCCTTATTCCAAATTATTCCAACCAGGTGAGGTCGGCACAAGATGTGCATTATGGCGTTAATGGTATTGGCCGCTTACCTGACGTCAACTCCTAATAAACATTCAGATCCGGAACAATTTTCTGTTGGTCACACAAACACTTCTTCCTTGTTTGAATCGAACTCATGACTTCCGGCGCCAAAGTCAATAGCTTAGCAACTGCGCTACCAGTAAAGTGTTTTTATAGATAAGATAAGGCTTTTGCCCAAGTGGATGACGTCTTCAGACTGTATTCACATATTTTCAAAGTTCTAAAAAAATCTTCTTTTATTGGCTGGTCGGATTTACGCCTACAGAGGCTTTCCGTATTTAGTGACTTATTTATTTTGGCTTTGCTTTGAACATGTAATCTGGTTTCATTAAATATAAATTGTTCGGGTATTTCAATTAATCGTGTCGGAGCTTCGGGGACGCCGTTTTCGTTGTCATTGAAATCGTCTTCTATTACCACGAATAGTCTAGTAAATAAACAAGGAATAAAGGCCGCATTTCATTATTAGACATAAATACAAAATCTAAATCATCCAATATCCGTTTTGTGGGCCAAAACATTCGTCTTAAATCCACATTTACATATAAAACATGCCAATATATCAATTCGACCACGAATGCAATTTGTGAATGGAGACCATAAATAACCATTTCCAGTTTGACACCCGGCGACCCTTCGTATAAGGGCAGTGTCACATTTTGAACGCAATACGATGTTGCAAGTGCAGTATAAATAACTAGTATAGTAACGAGTACTGAAAGTTGAAAACTTATTCTGTTGTATATTGGAGTGACATTTAAATGATGCCATTATTAATACACATGTCCCAGCCTTTTTGTGCAATGAATTTAACCTTTATAACATCAATTTCGTTTTAAGATAATAAACGGTAACGTACCTATGTATTAGTTTGCGTTAACGTATGCATAAACTAAACAATATATGCATAAATCAAAAACAGTACTGAAGTGTTAAAAATCATTAGAAGTATTAGTTTATTCATACTATTTCTAACATTACTTAATGTAAAAACAAAGAAAAGTAAAGTAACCACCTATAAATGTCCCACTGCTGGGCAAAGGCATAGTCCATCACGCGGCTCCACTGCGGATTGGCGGACTTTACATATTTTTGTTGTTATTATTTTGAAAATATGCTGGTTTCCTCACAATGTTTTCCTTCACTGCTGAGCACGCAATACTAACACATTTTAATTAATAGCTATACATTAAGTATAGTTATCAATTAAAAGGATATTAGAGCAATCTCTACAGTTAAAATATGTTTATATTTAAAAAGTGGCGTAAGAAACTAAATGCAGTTTGCTATTATAACATTGCCT